TTCAAATATTACCAAATTCTCGTTTTATTTTCGTATAATCTCATAGGAAATATAATAAATTACAGAATTATAGTTTTTTTCGCTCTGTATTGCCTGAAATGCTCATTATAATAGTATTTCTTATAACTTAAGGAGGACACAAAGAATAAAAAATGTTGACTGCCAGGTTGGTCAAATCTCTTAAATGAGATGCTTTGAGGTGTCGTAAACTTGAAGTATGGCGGATAAAAGCGACTTAAACGAAAAAGCATTCAAGTTTAAATACAAATCATAAAATACCTGCACATTCTAACACAATTTGTGTACTGACGCTGCGTTAAACTGATGTGTTTCTGCAGGCCGAGGACTACCTTGCAGAGAAGCTGCGCAGTAATGACCTGCTGCAGAAAGCCATCAACACGTACAGAGAGGCTGCAGAGCTGCCCGACGTGACCTCTGACCTCCTGAGGGCTGCGCTCAAGAGACGCGCCGAGAGGCAGCAGTTCCTCGGTAATACTCATTATACTACTACTATCTATATTATACTACTGCTACTAAAAACCTCTTTCACACATGGAACTTGTGTCCACTGTCTTTAGATTATTTCCAATTATTTTCTTGTGTCCCCTAATATATTCAGTCCCTTTCTGTTTGCTTTTAAACTTTGTCCTCTAATTTTATATATTCTCATTATGTTCATTCCTTTGAATTGTGTCTTACATTATTTCCTGTGTCTGTCAGGTCGGATACGTGGCTCTCTGGCGACTCTTGAGAAATTGGTGGAGATCTTTCCAGAAGATATCGATCTGAAGAACGATCTGGGCGTTGCTCACCTTTTGTTAGGAGACAACAAGGGCGCCAGGAAGGTGTTTGACGAGGTGTGTTTGTGTGCTGTTATACACACCTGCCCCTACTTGTTTTAGAAGTGTGTAAAAGTATTTTTTCCATCTCTGATTGGTTGTCTTTTTGCTCAGGTTCTGGTGCTGGAACCCAGCAACGGCTTTGCTAAAGTTCACTTTGGATTCATCCTGAAGTCAGAGAACAAGATCCCAGAGAGTATACCATACCTGAAGGTAAACAGACACACACACACACACAAATTGTATATGTACATTTCCATGTGAAATTGTGAGGACAATTGTTGTTCACGTTTACCTGAACTGGTTTTGCTTGATACAATAATAAATAACATTCCTTCCTGCCTCCTCTGTCCCTGCAGGAGGGTTTGGAGTCGGGGGAACCGGGAACAGATGACGGACGTTTTTATTTCCATCTGGGTGACGCCCTGCAGAGAGTCGGAGACGAGTCTGTGAGTAACATTGATCCACACACACCTGTCAGATAAATCCAAACAAACCTTTTGAGTGATGTAGATCTTTAATAAGTCCTTAAAGGGCATTGTATTGAATTAAATCAATTTTAAGAAGATCTTTAAAAGTCTTAAAAATGCTTATTAAAATGCCTTTTGACATTGCATGGTAAAATCTCAAAATAATTGTAGTTACGCAGATCAGGCATAAAAGAAATTCTTAAGAAGTCTTTGTTCTTACTTACCTTAATTTGTAGTGACTGGTTGTTTTATAAACGAAAATACACATGGAGGACTAAAGCTGCCAATATTTCAAATGTATTATGACTGGAAAAACTATTAAATGTACCTAAAACAATATTAAAAATAAATGTATGCATTAAAATAACTCATTTATAAAACATCTTAACTTAAAGGTGGGGTAGTTAAGTTTGAGAAACCGGCTCGAGATACACTTTTTGTTATATTCCATGGAAAGCTCTTAACATCCCGATAGCAATGAATATCTTAAGTGCTTTGACAAAAAATCCATAATAAAATGTCATCTGTGGAAGCCGTAGTACTGTAAAAAGCACGACCAATCATTTTAGCTGGCCCGGCTAAAATAACTGGATGGCCTACCTGCCTGTCAGCCTTCCATCTGTGCTCAAACTTATCTCGTGCCCTCATTGGTCATGTGCGCGTTCGTGTGTGTTGGAGGAGGGGCTCTGTAAGGAAGTGGCAGATTTTCTCCGGTTGTGTATTTTCAAATTCTACCGATCTCGAGCCGGTTTCTCAAACTTACCTACCCTACCTTTAAGTATTTGTTCCCTTACTTTTTTTCCAGTTACTAAAAATGTTTTAAAAAAACGTAAGGTCCAACACCAACTTATGTTTAGCTTTATTACAATATGCTTCTGTCTGTGTTTCTTTCTGTCTCTGCAGGTCTATCACTATCCTATCAACTTGCTAAAGTCTCGCATCAAATCTTACTGATCATTTCTTTTTTCCTGCAGGCCTATCACTGGTACGAGCTGGGTCATAAGCGTGGTCACTTTGCGTCGGTGTGGCAGAGATCTCTGTACAACGTGGCAGGTCTGAAGGCTCAGCCCTGGTGGACCCCTAAGGAGACGGGATACACCGACCTGGTGAAGGTAAGGTTGGTTTAAACTTTAAACTGTTAAAACACTGGTTTTATTCAGTAAAAGTGTTTGAAACCAGAGCTGTGTGTGTGTGTGTGTGTGTGTGTGTGTGTGTGCAGACGCTGGAGAGGAACTGGAGGACGATCAGGGACGAGGCTCTGGCCGTGATTGACCAGAACACCGGCTCATTCGTCCCGGAGGAGGAGAACCTGAGAGAGAAAGGAGAGTGGGGACAGAACACACTTTGGCAGCAAGGTACTCATATAAATATACAGAGAAAAAGAAGAAAAATAGTAATAAATGATAATGATAATATCAATGTAAAGTGCAGCAATAATGAGGGTTGAATGTATTGTTGTGTGTTTTAGGAAAAAAAGCAGGAGCCGCCTGTCAGGGGGTCCCGAAGACCTGCGCACTGCTGGAGAGATACTCAGAGGCTACAGGCTGCAAGAGAGGACAGGTACACACACACACACACACACACACACACACACACACACACACTCACACTCACACTCACACTCACACTCACACTCACACTCACACTCACACTCTCACACTCACACTCACACTCACACTCACACTCACACTCACACTCACACTCACACTCACACTCACACTCACACTCACACTCACACTCACACTCACACTCACACTCACACAGAACGCAGGCACATGGGACTAATGATAATAACATTCCAGGTTATATCATTACTACAAAAAAAAGGACCGTGTCAGAAAAACATCTGCTTTTTTAAATGTAAAACAGGTCTCTTATATTTGGGTCAATATTGTTTGTGGTCGGATGCTGTTGAGTGCGCCATGTGCTGATCTTAAGGATTAAATTGCTAAAAATATCCCAAAGTGTTTGGATTTAAAATGAAATCTATGTTTTTAACGAGGAAACATATCAACACAACTGTTTTATTTGATTCTCCTTGTATATACCATTTTTATTTATTCCTCTTTATTTGTTTACTTAATTGTACTTTTAAATATATTTGTTAATTTAAAAAAAAAATGTATGTATTAATTTGTATCTGTTAATAATAATAGAAATAATAATACATAAAAACTATTCATATTACTCAAAGATACTTAATTTCCATTTTAAATTATCATTTTTAAAACAGAAGTGCATTTATCGAGGTGTGTGTGTGTGTGTGGTGTGTGTGGGTGTGTGTGTGTGTGTGTGGTGTGTGTGGTGGTGTGTGTGTGTGTGGTGTGGTGTGTGTGTGTGTGTGTGTGTGTGTGTGTGTGTGTGTGTGTGTGTGTGTGTGTGTGTGTGTGTGTGTGTGTGTGTGTGTGTGTGTGTGTGTGTGTGTGTGTGTGTGTGTGTGTGTGTGTGTGTGTGTGTGTGTGTGTGTGTGTGTGTGTGTGTGTGTGTGTGTGTGTGTGTGTGTGTGTGTGTGTGTGTGTGTGTGTGTGTGTGTGTGTGTGTGTGTGTGTGTGTGTGTGTGTGTGTGTGTGTGTGTGTGTGTGTGCGTGCGCAGATTAAGTTCTCTGTGATGCAGCCAGGGACTCATGTGTGGCCCCACACCGGCCCCACTAACTGCAGACTGAGGATGCACCTCGGCCTCGTCATCCCCAAGCAGGGCTGCAGGATCCGCTGCACCGACATCACCAGGTACTGCTCCTCTTCATCTTCATCACGCATCATCGTTATTTACTTCCTCCTCCATCACCTTCTTCCCTGTTTCCCCTCATCTCATCTCCATAACATTGAATTCAAAAGAAAGAAAGCATGTGTGTACAAATATTCTCTGAAAATAAATGATCTCCCTGTACAGATTTTAGTTTGAGAAACAAACAAATCGATGTTAACGGGTCGTTGTAACCTCGCTAACTTCTGGTTTCTTCTTCCTGTGTTTCAGGGAGTGGGAGGAGGGTAAAGTCCTGATCTTTGACGACTCCTTCGAGCACGAGGTCTGGCAGGACGCCGACAGCTACCGGCTGATCTTCATCGTGGACGTGTGGCACCCCGAGCTGACGGCGCACCAGCGGCAGACCCTCAGCCCCATTTAAACACACACACCCCTGGGAAGAGTTTCACACACTCATCGGATTCTTCTCCTCCTGTGGATAAACTGATACAAACTTTGAGGAGAATCACGACGGAATGGGGACGTTTTTTTAACTTTTTTTTGTGTGGATAAACTACTAAAATAGTCTGAGGAAGGACCGAAGCATCAGACTTGAAGGATGGAGTTGAAAAGTAACTACTGACTTTACAACCTTTCACAAAAAAACCACATAATACGGTACGTCTTTTAGCCCAGAGTAACCCTGTTTGGATCGGGTTATTCATGTGATGGATTTAAAGTCTTCTTACTGGATCTGGAGTTTTTCTGCGGGGGGAAATGGACGTCATCTGCGGAGCCATTTTCTTTCACAAATATAGACATGTTTCTTAGTCGGGAAACAAACACAGTTCTCTGGTGTTTCATACAACAGAATATAAGAGTATGTCAATTCCAAGATGTAAGTGTTACATTAATGAGAGGTTAAGTCCTTTACATTAAATTAGTGAATCACCGAAAAAATGTATAAACCTGCTAGAAAATAATGTTTTCTTCTACAATTAAAAATGATTTATTATCTGAAATTAAAATCTGAAATTACGCAAAAAACACCGGCAGTTAACAAGAAAAAAAACTCAAATGCTCACAGGAAATGCTTTTTGTATATTCTCTGAGATTCAAAAGTATAACGTTTAGTAGAAAATTATGTTAAATTTGCATGAAAATAATGTTCAATTTTCTGAGAATAAGGGACTCCTTCTCACGGCATTTTTGTAAACCAACCACTATAATCTTGGGAAATATTCATGTTTTCTTTTGTTACTTTGCGAGTTATTTCGTGAATTGACCACTCTTGGAATATCCCAAAAAATGCTATAACGGAACTACTTAAATCCCCAAGTTTCTTTCTCAGAATATTACACAGGCTTCATATTTTGGTGTCACTAATAAACCATCAGAATAGCTTTTGCCACGAAAAAAAGATTTAGATTATATTGTGTAATATAAAAATAATATTTTCATTTCACTTTCAAATGTCTCGCACCCATTTAAGATAACGCTTCTTTTGCATTTTATGAAAAAAGCCTTAATTTCTACCACAGTGCATTTTCTTTCAGTTCATCAAGTTTTCAGTTTCACTTTTTCATCCCGTTTGCACAGAAAACACAAGATGTTGTCAAAGATGATTTATATTTATAATAAAAATAAAGGAAAAATTCAGAAAAAAATAAAAACCACTAAACAAAAGTGTGTGTTTCTTTGGATTTTCATGACACGTGTTGCTTTTTAATGATCCCTTACAAAATAAGAGCCCCATGCCTAAATGAATCACAGCACATTCCCGTTGGTGTAAATGTTTACTTCTATACATTCATTGAAAGGAAATACATTACATTACAGTCGAGTGGAGATCAGTGTAGCCCTGATGAGTCAAACTGCAAAAAATCATGACACACTGGCCTTTATAATTTACAAATACTCCTCAAGATATTTGGTGAAATGATCAACCTGCTACTTAACCTTTCTTTCCTCAGAAGTACATGAAACGTTTTACAGCGCAGGATGATAATTACACTTCAAATATCTCAGGATAAAACAGGCCAAGAGTGTCAGTCTTTTTGCAGTGTGATAATACTTATAACAATAATGTACAATCTTCATAATATTAATAAGTTAGATTCAATAAAAACAATCTTTCCCTACACTTCAGTCGAGGGTAAAGGTGATGATTTGGCATCCTATGGTTTCTTCACAGCACAATACTTTATCTGAAAGAAATATTTCACTCTGGTAGAATATTTGTTTTGAAGTTTTCATGCATGTGATCCCGTTATAGTGTTTAGCAATTGGTGGCAACATGTGCAGTGCTTTCATTTAGAAAAACGTGTGCAAAGTGCCTGTGGTTTTTACAAGAAAGAAAAAAGGTGAAATGATTCTACCAAAGTGAGGTTTCTTATTCGTCCTCCTGGTTTTAATGAATGTCTTTCTCCTTCAGATTATCGGGACATAAATGTCAGAAAAATACAAAGTATTTGATTAATATTTTGAGGAAATACTCCAGCAAGTAGATAAAGAAGTTAGAGCCGCCCTGTCAGTTACCTGAACTGTAGATTTAAGATCCGAAAGCAAAAGATTAATGCTCTTTCAAACATTTAAGGCTGAGTTTCACCAACAAGCATTGTCTTAACTTCTGAATCAAAACATGTATTTCTTTTGGTGGAACCCGCTTTGAATGTTTCTTAATTTTTATGGATATGATTTTATATTTTGTCAGCGATTTCCTCTGAGGTTTAAATAGAGTTTCAGTCTCAGAAACAGATTACATTCCTCATACATTCCCCCTTGTTTCTGACAGAATTACTGAATTAAAACTTGAAGCTGAAGGCGACACACACACACACACAAACATATACTTCAGAGTGTGTGCTTGTTGTTGTTGACAGATGCTGCTGTTTGCAGAGAGGCTCAGCTGGGAGGCATTATGCGGCTCAGAGACAGACTGTGTGTGTGTGTGTGTGTGTGTGTACAGGAAATTCATTGTCAGAGTTCATGTTGCTAAAGGACGCCACCAGCTTGATACACAGCAGTGTTTCTAAAAGTGGGTGTCTGTTGCAGTCTGTACATGATGTGTGTGCGGGGCGGTGTGTGTGACGGCTCTAGTGTGTGTGTGTGTGTGTGTGTGTGTGTGTGTGTATGTATGTGTTTGTGTGTTCAGTCCAGGGCGAGGAGCGGCGTGCTGGTCTCTCTGTCCGTTTGTCGGAGAGTTCCTGGCTCCACCACCGACTGAGACCTGAAACCCAGAGAAGAAATGAATCTGATACTCAGATAGGAGGAGGAGGAGGATCTTTGTCTCCCCCTTACCTCTTCTCTGTGTACCTGTCTCCCCCCCTCCCATCTCTTTAAAGTGTACCTGTCTCCCCCCCCCTCACCTCTTCATCAGCTCCTTATCTCCCCCGCAGCTCTCCCTCACATGCAGAGCGTCGTAGGTCAGTGTGTACTCCGTCTCGTCGCTGTAGTCGGGTCCCAGCAGCGTCCTCGCCCAGATCCCCATGTCGTAGGGAGGGAGAGTCCCCCCAAACTCTGAGGGGAGACACTCCGGCTGCAGGAGGACGTGCAGCGAGTTCAGGTTGTTCCCGTGGAGGAAGATCTGAGGAGAGAGAGGGTAGGACGCAAGAGAGGACATCAAGGAGATGTAGCAAGGAGAAGAAACGAGTGGAAATGAGAGGAAACAAGGGGAGAGGATACAAGGATAGGAAATAAGGTGAGGATGGGAAGCAACGAGAGGAGATAAGTAGACAGGAGAGGAAACAAGAAGAGGAGTGAAAGGGAGGAAGCCAGTACAGGAGAAGAGAGAATAGACAGAGATCAGGAGAGAGGAGACAAGTAAAGGAAATGAGGAAAAGACAGGTAACAAGTAGAAGAGAGGACAAGAAAAGGGGGCATGGGAACAAGGAAAGCAAGCAGAAGGGACGAGGATAGCAAGCAAGGAGATAAGAGGAAATTAGGAGAAAATAAAAACAAGGGAGGAGGGTGTTATAATCGAAGGAGATAAAAGACGAAAATCTGTTAATTAAATAAGAACAAAGAAGAGCAGGAGAAAAAGGTGAAAATGAAATGGAGGAAGTGGAAGACAATTGGAGAGACGAGATGAAAAAGAAATAGCAGAAGAAAGAGAATAAGACTTTGTACCCTTTTCCTGGTCTTGTCCTTGAGGAAAGGCTTGATGATGGTGTACATGGCGTGAATATACCACGGCTGATTCACAAAGTGGATCCCTCCAAAACGGGCCGGAAAACTGTCCTGAGGAGAGGAGACAAGGAGGTGAGGAGACGAGGATAGCAAGACACCAGGACACAAGGAAAGAAACATGAGAGGAGAGGACACAAGGAGAAGAGACAAGGAGAGGAACGAAAAACAGAAAAGAAAGAGGGAGAGACAAGAAGAGGAGATAAGGAGAAAGGACACAGAAAAGAAGAAAAGACCAGAGGAAACAAAGAGGAGACAGAACGTGTGTGTGTGTGTGTGTGTGTGTGTGTGTGTGTGTGTGTGTGTGTGTGTGTGTGTGTGTGTGTGTGTGTGTGTGTGTGTGTGTGTGTGTGTGTGTGTGTGTGTGTGTGTGTGTGTGTGTGTGTGTGTGTGTGTGTGTGTGTGTGTGTGTGTGTGTGTGTGTGTGTGTGTGTGTGTGTGTGTGTGTGTACCTGCAGACCCTCGATGGCCAGCTTCAGGATGTTGGGCGTCAGTTTGGACGCCTGCTTGAAGGAGAAGTTGCTCCAGTCGATTATCAGGATGAATCCATTAATCTGAAGCTCAGGATTCTCTATCAGCACCTCCAAGGAGAGGAGGATCGCACGCAGGATATCTGTGAAGGAGTTCCTGACGAGGGAGGGGGGAGGGGGGAGGAAGAAGAGGAAAGGGAAAGGCGGAAGTGGAGGAGGGCAATAAGGAAGATAGAAGAAGTGGGGGGGGAGTGGATGAAGAGGTGAAGAAGGATGAGGAGCATGAGGAAGAAGAGGAGAAGGAGCAGGAATAAGGAAACAAAGTTGAGAAGGAAGGTTGAGGTGAGGATATTAACCAGCTCGTCATTAGTTCAACAGAGCGCTACTGTAAATACAGAAACGACTCATTAGGCTCTCTGTGTTCCCATCAATAGTGTGTGTGTGTGTGTGTGTGTGTGTGTGTGTGTGTGTGTGTGTGTGTGTGTGTGTGTGTGTGTGTGTGTGTGTGTGTGTGTGTGTGTGTGTGTGTGTGTGTGTGTGTGTGTGTGTGTGTGTGTGTGTGTGTGTGTGTGTGTGTGTGTGTGTGCTGGTGTGGTGTGTGTGGGTGTGTGTGTGTGGTGTGTGTGTGGTGTGTGTGTGTGTGTGTGTGGTGTGTGTGTGTGTGTGTGTGTGTTACCTGCTCTGGTCCCAGTTGGAGGCAAAGAGGATGAGGATTTTGCGGCCGTGTTGGTCCGGAGTCTCCAGCACACCTGGGAAGCCGTCCATCAGAGCGCGCTTTATCCCGGGGTCGTCCACCTGACAGGAAACAGAGCACATTTAAAGAATCTCACCGGAGGAGATAAAAAAAAAGTTAACAAGGATTGGACTTTAATTTTGAATACTGGCAAAAAATTGATTTTGGTCAAACAAGATTATTAATATTTTAGTTGTTATTATTATAATCAAGGGAATATGAATCAACCATTGTAAGAATAGCTCTTTTGCAAATGAACTCTCAAATACAGTGTTGAGTATAGGATTTCTTACACTTCTAGGGTTTGAAACCAAATATCTAAAGGTAACACCCAGAGAAAAGTGGTACCTTGAAGCTCTGGAACATGTCGAGGTTCTGCTGTCTGAACTGAAAGTACTGGGCCAGCAGCCGGAAGGTTTCCGTCTGGTTGAACTTCCTCGCTCGCAGGAAGCGCAGGATGAAGTCGTCGTCCGTCCGCAGGAAACCGATGTCCGGCCGCGTCACGATCATGTCCCGCACCTCGAGAAGAAACACATTCACAGGAGGAAAATAAGGATGAGCAGTAAGAGGTTTTAAAAGTAAATAATTCATCATAATCTAAATCAAATATTAACCAATATTTTAGGACATATTTAGCTCAAATTAGATCCTGAAACTTTACAGCATGTCAATTGCTTTTTGTAATTTAATTAAATGATGATTTGTTTGGGAATTTGCACTACTAAAATATTTTTTTACTTGGAATATATGGAGGGCTGAAGCTGCCATACTGATAAATAAATAAATACAATAATAAAGAAGGAAATGCAGTAATAAAAAACCCAATTGCTAACATGTATTCATTATAATTGAAGCTTTAGTCCTCCATGAAAAAAACAGCAACATAAAAACAATATAATGGGTTTTTTTTCAGTATTTTTACCAATGTATGTTGGTCTCCCTGTTGGAGCTGGACATATTGTTAATTAAGACCAACATAATATTTGAAGTACCTGCTGGATGTCCTGATGCAGAGTGTCTGGGTTTTCATTCAGCTCCAAACGAGCTTTCTCCGTGGTCTCTGGGCTCAGGCCGGCGTGGAGGTGCGTCATCGTGAGAGTTAAGTCTCCGCACAAATTACAGTTTTATTCCGACAATTCTCCGGACAGTTTGTTGTACAATCTTGTTGATTTGGTTGTCGTTGTAACACAATCTTAATTGCTGTCTCTGATTTTATACTCCACATTTACAGATTTTGTCGGTAAGAAACAATCACGCTGCTGTCTTCCTCTCACATTTCTGCAGGAAGCTGAAAGTGTTTTGGTTTTTGTTGAAGCTTGTTGCAGGTGGTTTGATGAAGAAACAGGTCAGTGTCGGTGCGACATTCACATCCTTTTTTATTTTGCCCTACTTTTCCTCCCGTTTAGTGTCTTTCAGCTCCCTCCTCCTCCGGCTCTCTGTCATCTTTCTGCTTGTATTTCAGGTTTCTTATAAGTCAGCTCTCTGCTGCATCATGGTGATCAGTCTGTCGTTTTTCTGCAGGGGTCAAAGGTCAGGCAAGGGAGCAAGGTCTCAGCCTGCAGGAGAGAGGAGACAGTACAGGTATAGTATACATATTACACCGATCTTAAATTAGTCAATTTCTTCAGGGGTTTATTTGTAGTTTATTCTAGAGTTTGGGAATTTAAAAACCGGGATGATGAATTTCAGAATATAAGCCTGCAACTATTTTGTTTTCATTATATCTGTTGAGGATAATCATGCTAAATTAATTAATGAATTTTTCCTAAAAATGTCAGGAAGATTCTAGAAAAAATGTCTTAGGGCCCAATGCACACTATTGTTTTATTGCATTTACTTTCCTTTCTTGTTGTCCTCTATATATAGAGCTAAAGCTGACATTGTAAAAAATGAATGCCTTTTTTATAACTTAAAAGAACAGTTTGACATACATTCATTTGTATTTATTATATCCGTGTATATTTAATAATTTAATAAATGCTTATTTTATTTTACTATAAGGGCAGCTTTAGTACTCCATACAATACACTTTGTAATAAAATAACATAGTAAATTATGCTGTATTTTTACTTTACTTTTAAAATGGTACATGCTCTTTATATAGACTTTATTTCATTATATTTATAAATATCATCTGTTCTTGCACTGCTGCTGTTTCTCATAAGGATCAATACATGTTATCTTTATCTCAGATGACCCCCCCCTCCCTGCTCTTTCTGCCCCCCACCCCCCCCAACTCATCCCCATCTGCCTGCACATTAATTGTGTCAGATGTCGTCCAATCTGTCCACAGAGACAGATAATGAAAAAAACTGAGACACTTGAAGGTCCCACAGGGCTCTGTTTTACATTTCCATCCTTGAGATCAAACATAAAACACTGAAATGCCCGGATGTGGCTCTTATTGTACATTATATTGAAGGTAAATGTTTGAATTGAATGTGAATAATTGTATATTCATTTCCCCAGTCAATGTAATGATAAAAGTCACCCTCATGATATGAAGGTGCGCGTGTATCCTCGCTAAATGTCCTCTAAAGGATCCCAAATAAGAAAATCCCCCAGGAGTGAGCCATTTAAGCTCCTCTGCATGCAGCTTGTTGTATTTTAATTATATATTTAATTGAACAGCAATACATCAGTGAGAGAGGAGCGACCTGCTAGGTGTGCTGGTTGAATCCACGGCCCTCCGGTGCTGCTGGTGCTGATGCTGCTGGTGGCCATCGGCATCCCGCGGACAAAATAACAGATTGCCGTCAAAAATTAAAAATAATACAATTAATATAAAAGCTTCCCTGAAGGCGTCAGATGTGTTGAAAGACCGTCCTTGTATAATCCGTGCAGGCTTTGTAGCAGCATCTCTCTGATGAGATGCGTTTTTACTTTGTGCTCCGAGAAGACGTCAGGATGCTCCCGAACCGTCAAGCTTTTCAAAATAAAGAGCAAGGCTTCCGGTCAGCACTTTCAAAAGAAAATTTGATTTACTCACAGATTAAACCTACCACATACATTTACTGTTCTCATCATACATCTTAAATAAAGACCTGAAACGTATTTTAAGGGTCTAGTTTGAAGGAGTTCTTTCATGCATTCATTTTTTATGAAGTAAATTTGATTTATATTATACAATTAATTTATTATAGCGTATATTTGACTTGCACATATTCTTTATAATGTACTTTATAAACTTGAGCCAATACCTATTTGTATAACAAATACCGTACAGCGTTTTAAATCAAGATATATTTTACATTACTTTATTTATTTATTTCATATTTCTTATAGTATTTTTTGTTTGACTAATTATGATTATTTACTTTTTGAGTGCTTGTTTTTCTCTTTCTCTTACTTAATAGATTGTTTTGGACCAAAACATCAGTCAAATACTTTACAACAACAAACCTAAATTGTTGAGTACAAAAAAGAATCTAGTAAGCAGATAATAGAAAAAAACAAAACAAAAACAAACTACTGCACAGCATCTAAAGCAGCATATATACACTTGTTTCTTTATATATATATGTATAGGCACTAAAGAAACAAACGACATACATAAACATTTACCAGGACAAAATTGCATACATACAAATACAAAAATCCAAACAACAAATGGCAACAAATTCGAGGCTTTTATTTTGAAGCCACCCTCTTCTCGTTTCCTGTCTGGTTTGACCTACCTGCCTGCACGACAGCGGCTGACGGCCACGCGCGTTCATGAGGAACCCTGGACAGATTGTAGATTGATTGCGCGTACGAAGCAGCTGGTGCGAGCACACGTGTATGCGCAAATTGACATGCATGGGAAAAATCTGCCAAACAATATTATTATTTTAATTAAACACTAGTTTGATTCAAATTGTACACATTTATTATATAAATATTATAAGTATATGCTTATTTAATCGATTTTACCGACTTTATTTTATAATAAATGGATAAATTAATTAATTAATTAAATTAAAACATTAGAAATCATTCTGTATTAATAATTATTCTCACTAATAAGATGTATTGATCCCTGTAAGAATGTAAATGTCCAAAGGAAATGTTGTATATTATATTGTATTTATCACTTTAAGATCATAATACACTATAATCTTATATAATATGACATGTTATACTCATAGTTTTATATTTGACATACCATTCCATTCAATCATGTGTTTCCATATGTTATGTTATATTATATTGCTATATTTCACCGAACACTATGTCTTTATATCACATACTCTTAATTTACGTTATTGATTTTTTTCATGATATTTCAAATCACATTTTTATAACACATGACAACCGGCCTTTTTGTTGCTTTGTTGTTTTTATTTTAGTTATTATGTTGTCAAGGCGGGCGGTAGACTTCCGGCCTAGTGACGTATTCCTGTTGTTCCAGGGTCCACTCAGCTCGGAAACTCCTCACAGAAATCGTATCTACCTCGTCTACACTGTTAACTTATTTGAAAGAAAAACCTCGAACATTATCTTCTTACACTCACTGAAGTTAAGTTCATACAATTGTTGTGTGTAGTTGTCACATCGCGGAACGTTGTTGAAGCCTCTTTTCAGGACCTTTTCGTCTCCAGATCTGCCCCAACCGGAGTGTGCTAACATTAGCTCAGCGGCTAGCCACCATTCAATCTTCAAGTAAAACAACGACTAATCGAAGTTGTTTTAATCATGGATCAAATAGGAGTAGTAACGCCAAAGGTAAGCTTTTGTATCATTTGATTTTGTGTAATACCTTCAATTGTGTTCAAATCCACGAAGCTATGTCGGTGAGCTACCTAGCCTGCTAGCTTTAGCTTCTGCTTAGCTGTTTTCTAACATGGCCTCTTTGAAAGTCGCCTGCCTAAAAGGCCGAATTTAGCTCACTGAGTGACTGGACACATTAGTCCGCAGCTGCCAGGGTTCTGGTCACTGGGTGTGCCATGATTAGAGATATGTTGGCATAAGTTTCGCTCCAAAATAAACTCTGTTATTTGCGATAATCACGTTAACTCAGATGCTAGTAAGTGACTATAGCTGATTATAAAATTAAAGGACATAACATATCTCACTGAGAAATCCTAAAATGACAAGGTTCAACACTGGCTGAACAACATTTGCTTACAGTTAAATGTAAACAAAAACAGTATGCATGGGACGGGACTACGGATGGAAATGAGCTCGAAGCTAAAAAAAATCCGGCTCATTTACATTTGAAAGCATTATTTTGTTTAAAATGTTCAACAATGTGCATTGTCCCGGTTCAAATAAACGATAAAATGAAATTGTAGAACAGGAGTAAATGGCAGATTATAAATAAATTAAATAAACCCTAATTTGATATCTTAATTATATAAATAAGAACAGTTTCGGCCCTAAAAACCCATCAGAACGGTGGGTGTGGACTGAGCTCAGACATGTCTGAACATGTCTCTGCTTCACTTCTGGATCCTGTGTTGACCTTACACTGTATGAATAATTCCATTATGACTCACTCTGTGTGTTCATCACACTGGTGACTGCCTCATTCACAAATAAAGTCCAAAGGTGCTTTAATATCTGCAGCCAGGCTACCTTTATTTGTTTACTGTTTTATCTTATCAATTGCAAATAAACATCTTTTAGATGTTGTCCTCATCTTTCCATGTGAACACCAAGCTTGTACAGTTTTTCATACAGACTTTATTTATAGATTTTACATACAGAAAAATGGATCAGACTTATATTTTCATGTATATAGGTTTCATTAAACCTACAACAATTTCAGCCAGGTGTAGCTAATTTACTGGCTTTTGCTCTTGTTTCGCAGCTTATCATCAGTGTAAAAGTGTTTTGGTGTGCGTGTGTGTTCCTAAGTGTTATAATATGTGTGTTCTTTGTGTTTTATCCAGAGCCCGTGGGGGCACGTGGCCCCTGCGGCCCCCGCCTGCTCTCTGACAGATGTGATGAGCGAACAGCTGGCCAATCAGCTGACGGAGGAGGACAACGTCTTCCCCACCCTCACTGAGTAGGTCCTCACCTGTGTGACTCACCTGTGTTCACAATCTGAATGTGTGTATAATGCTAACAGCAAATAAAGAAATGTTTTTAAAACTCTTGTATGTGGAAATGTAAATATTAGTGCTGTCAATCATTTAAAAAAGTATTATTAATCACAATAATAATCTATGATTAATCACGATAAATCTCAATAACAATCTGTGATTAATCACAATTAGCCACTTCTCTAAAAAAAAATTTGAAGCTTGAATACTAAGACCAAAAAACTCAAATGATTTGACGGTCTTCTGTTCACGATTTATTTCCTCTCTCTCTGTGTTTCAGTCCGGCTGTAGATCTGCTGCTGTCTGACGAAGTTTTGGAAACGAATTCCGACCAGGTGCTCGCCAAGATGCTGCAGCTGCAGTTCGACCGCGAGTTTGATGATCAGCTGCGCCGTGAGGAGAAGAGATTCAACGGAGACAGCAAAGGTTCTTACTTAAATGGGATTGTTATTATTATTGTTTGTAAGTGTGTGATATTAAGTGTATTTAGGAAAAGTACTCATACCATACTAATAAAAAAACCTCCACTGTAACTCAATGTCCTGAATGTTTCGGCCTGTTATATCCCCACTTTTATAGGGAGGAAATATTTATAAAAATGGATATGGTCAAATGTTCTGTAAAGCTGACAGTTTGGATGTTTTGTTCAGTGTCCATCTCCTTTGAGAACTACCGTATGGTTCATCCCTACGAGGACAGCGACAGCTCCGAGGACGAGGTGGACTGGCAGGACACGAAAGACGACCCTTACAAAGCTGGTGAGACTCCTGCAGGGGGTGGACAAAATAACAGAAACACCTGGCAGTACCATTAGGGGAGGTGCATGTATTAAAGCAGAGTGTGTTTCTATGTTCTTATCAGATAAACCTCAGACTACACCCAGGAGAGGCTTCTCTGGGAAAGGAAAGAACATCACCACCAAACACGATGCAGAGACCTGCGGACGCAAGAACACCGCACGCATGGACAATGTAGGACACGCAACGTTTTTATTTACTATTACATGGTCAATGTTATTTCAAATGCCTTTAAAAACATTGTTATTATTATTTACTTAAATGTCCCATGTCATGGCCATTTCTACTGATCATAATTCCATTGTTGAGGTCTACTAGAATAGATTTATATTGTGCAATTTTCCAAACTCACATTGGTTTCTCATACAGCATCTCTGTATAGTATGTGTATTCACTCTGTCCTACACGGATTGTTGGAGCTCCTGCCCCCCCCCCTCCCTGTGAGCCCACTGTGCTCTGAGGGGACTGCAGCACCCCCATCTGCGAGGCTCCACTAGCACCCGCAACAGGGAATGCTTTAGCTTTGTTAAAAACGTATCTTCTTCATGTTGAGGATTATTGACAAATCATTTTAATATTTACTTTCCTTTTGGTTCAGTTAAGATAAGCCCTCTACAATGTGAACATTTCATTTTCTGGGCATTTAATGTCGTTTGGAGAAATGTGCAGGTTGAATTTCTTATGAACTTTTGGACTATGTTAAACCCAATGTAAAAACGACTTCCTCTCCTCCTGCTGCAGTTTGCTCCTGGGGTGCACATTGGAGACGGTTTGGGGATGGACCTGAAGTTATCCAACCAGGTGTACAACTCCCTGAAGCAGCACTGCTACAACGAGCAGAGACGCAGCGCCCGGCTGCACGAGAAGAAGGAGCACTCCACCGCTGTACGTGCAAAAACACTTTATTAATAATAATAATAAAGAGAGTTGTTCTACGTCATATTAAAACTGTCTCTCCTCAGGAACAAGCGGTGGACCCCCGCACTCGCCTGCTGATGTACAAGATGGTGAACGCTGGCGTGCTGGAGAACATTAACGGCTGCATCAGCACCGGGAAGGAGTCGGTGGTGTTCCACGCTGACGGAGGGAGGTGGGTGGATGTCAGGAAAAAGACCAATGAGCATTTATACGTATATGTTTTAAAGATATTTTCCTCTACATTGGGCCCTGTAGAGAATACAAAAAGCATTGAAGCTCCTGTCCTACCATCTATTGAAATAAAACAGCTCTTATCAGGGCCGGCACTTAGAAACCTCTGGGATCATTTCATTTCAAATAAATGCGACAATGCAAGCAACAAGGTGCTTTTTGCACATACATTTGCTTCAGACAACAACATTTCTCAGAAAATGCTTATAATTTCACTCCAACATTGTTCAGTTGTTCGTGAAATTCTCTTGTGATCGACCATATTACATGTTGCAAAAAGCACAGGAGCAGAGAGAACACAGCGTAATCACTTTGTGAATTTTCCCTCAGACTTTAGGGAGCTGATGTTTCCCTTTTTTTAATATATAGAACAGGAGCTGTATCATTAACCCAAACATTTTGCCTCTGTGTGTTTTGTAGTCTGGAGGAGCAGCCTGTTCCCAGTGAAGTCGTGCTGAAGGTCTTCAAGACGACGCTGAACGAGTTTAAGAACAGAGACCGTTACATCAAAGACGACTACCGCTTCATCGACCGCTTCAGCAAACTGAACCCAAGAAAGGTCATCAGGCTCTGGGCTGAGAAGGAGATGCACAACCTGACCAGGTACACCCCCTCATCCTATTAGGACTTTTATTTATTTATCTAAAGGGTTATTCCACTGTATTACAACCAGGTGCCAACAACAACTTTTCCCTTTTTTGGTGTTTGTTTTCCCCTCTTAAATAAATGCAGACATGTCTTTTTTATTAAGATCTAAAGTGGTGTTTGGTGTTAATACATTGATAACATGTGACATAAGTTGGTATTTAGTTTAATTGTTTTTGTCATATTTATTTATTTCCCGAGAAAATGCTTGAATATATTTTTTTGTTTTATGTATTATTAGCATTTCCCCCCCCCCCCCTAATAATTCCTCCAGACATGCATTTTTTTCATTCTCTATTAATTTCTTTATGTGTTCAGGATGAGGAAGGCGGAGATCCCCTGTCCCGAGGTGGTGCTGCTGAAGAAGCACATCCTGGTGATGTCCTTCATCGGGAAGGATCACATTCCTGCTCCCAAACTGAAGGACGTCAAGTTGGGTTCAGAGGACATGAAGAGCGCCTTCTACCAGGTCCTACATGTATGTACCAGGACCGCAGGAAGTGAACTTTGTACTGCTAGTTTACTTATGGCGCGTTTCCACTACACGGCCTCGCTCGGTATGGCTAGGCCTCGTTAGGACTGGCTCACTTTATGGCGCATTTCCATTACAGTTTAGGAACTGGGGTAGTATCTATAGTAACGCAGTGTAGGCGGAGCCGTGACGTGATCTTCAGAGGACCCCAGAAAAACAACACAGCCGTTAGCTGTTAGCACTCAGAGCTCACAGCTCCTCATATCTGTTCAGAAACTAGACAAAAGTTAAACAAGTACAAACCACAGACTGCCTGTGTCATGGTGAATACAGTCGCTGCTTTATTTATGTCTGTATAGGCCGTTGTTGTGAGTGTGGACGGTCGGAGCATATACTGCGTTAGCTTAGCCAATCTTCATTTAGAAAACATGCATTTTAAAAGGTTTTTCGCCTGCCGTCTGTCTGCAGACTTGACAAAGCATTAATTCATGGTTTTTACTAACCGGTATCAGTATGTTGTTACTTCGGCATCATTTTGAAACGTGTATTACAATTAAATCACGGTCAAATATGTCCATCTTGTTGTAGTTGTAGCCCCCTTGCCAGCGATGCTCTCTCTAGTTTAGCATACTCAGCCCGACTCAGCCTCGTTGTCTCTGGCCCTAGACCCACGATTTTATGAGGCCAGAAAAACTGTGAATTAGGACCCGCCGGCCGGTACTAGGCCAAGTGGAAACGCAACCAAAGACGGGCCGCTGACGTCACAGCCCTCTTAAACCGTGCTCCGCGCTGTAGTGGAAACGCGCCATTACAGTGCAACTGAACTGTCAGACATGTAAACAAAATTAATTCAGTGTAAAATAATGACTTTAGCAGTGAACTTTTAAGGGAACTTTATAGAATGTGTACATGTTTTATGTATACAGCAATAAATAGGATACAAAATAATAATAATAATAATGATAAAAGTCATATAGGTAGTCAATCAATAACCTTTATTATTGTGCTTAATAATAAATATATTGAAATGTGTTTATATAGCAGCTTACAAATAGAGTTTTGCTTTGTGGTTGAAACTTGACAAATTAAATCAGACAATTAAATATATTTCAAAAACCAAATAGACAATAATAATACACTTTTCAAAACACATTTACAAATAATATGCGAAGTAAATCAAATCAAAATAATTAAAAAATTAAATACCCAACAGTTATGAGGTTTTATACATTTAGAAATGATCAAAAATAAAAGAAATGGAGCAAATATAATCAGACAATTGAAAATAATAATTACATAAGAAAGCCAACAATAAGTGCATTTATCCTCCATAGGAATAATAGCTAAATGTCTTCAAAACACACAACTAAGACTGTAGTTATTATGTTGTTATTTTTGGACTGAATAAAACTATATTAGGGTGTGCAAATCTACCTTTTAACCTTATTTGTCTTGATGTTTTTGCAGATGATGCAGCAGATGTATCAGAAGTGTAATCTGGTTCATGCTGATCTCAGTGAATACAACATGCTGTGGCACGAAGGAAAGGTAACCACATCTTTTATTTAATGATTTCTTTCTTTAAAGCCCCATAAATCGTCCTTCTTTGCATCTTCCTGTTTTCTCACTTTCATTGTATTTCTTTTTTGCAGGTGTGGTTGATAGATGTCAGTCAGTCCATCGAGCCTCGTCATCCTCACGCTCTGGAGTTCCTCTTCAGAGATTGCAGGAACGTTTCCACGGTGAGGTTTCCTTCCACATGCAGCTTCTTTTAAAAAAATATTTCTGATCAAAGTTCTTCATGTGAATTTATCTCTTGTGTTTTCTGCCTCAGTTCTTCCAGAAGAGAGGTGTGAGCGAGGCGATGACTGTGTACGAACTTTTCAACGCTGTGAGTGGAATGAACATTGCCATACCCCCGGACGAGGACGAGGCCGAGGCCGAGTTCATTTCTGAGGTAACACACACACACACGCATAAATCAATAAAAACAATTTAAAGAGGCATGTGGGAATTATTTTATATAATTTATAAATACAATTGTAAACAAATTGTTGTGGAATGTGTCTCTGCTGCAGGTTTTGGAAGTTTACAGAAGGAGACTTAACCTTAAGAGAAAAACTTAAGAAAACTGAATTAATACTTAAAATGTGTTAAATTCAGTTGTATGCTACGTTGTATTAGGGCCATTGTAGTATAACTTTATTTGGTCCACTGCTCCATCATCTACTGATATTCTCTTTCCTGGGCATCATTCATTTTACAAATAGAAAGTTTCCAACAATATCTTAAAACAACATTTGTCTTCACTCTCACTTTCCTCATACAGATTGGAATTGAAGATTTTTTAAAAAGGAAACTATTTCAAATTGGAGTTTAATGCTCTCTCTCTCTGACAGATCATGGCCTATGAGAAGCGTAACGAGGACCACGTGCAGCGCCGGGGAAAGAAAACGTTTCATGTGACCTCAGAGGACGGCGGTCCTCCTTTAATACCAGATTCTGATGACTAACGCCCCGCTGCTCTCTCTTCACGATCCCAACGTGATGAAAATGCTCTAAAAAGAGGAGATAATGGAGGTGCCCTCCCCCATTTGGAGGTCTGGGTGCCTCCCTGTCTCCAACAAGCCACCCTTCACCAACTGCTTCGTTTACACAGCAGGACGCAGCGCCTCCTGCTGCCTGCAAGAGGAGCTTCACCGTGTTGGAGGTTGAAATCCTGAGAGGAGGGGACGTTATCGGTGTTTGAAAGAATCACAGTCAAAATAAAATAAGACCTCATCTATCCGGCTGGATAACTCGTAGAGGTTCATTTAAAATTCTGAGTTTGTAGAGATTATGTGTAGGGCGGGGCAATATATCAATGTTATATTGATCATGATATAAGACAACGTCTTATTAAATGTTTTTGTGGCGCCTGAAATCAAAGCTCATGAGAACAAATGCATGCAAATTAAAAGTAATCTCAGTATGATGTCAGTAAATGTAGAAGATTTAGTTTGCAGTGATGGAGATTCAGTAAATCAGGTGTGTTTTTGACCTTAATGGATAGGTAATGAATTTGCTATGTAACTTTAAGCAGACCTAATGGTGACATTAAAAAGTGAAAATGAAAACGTTTGTGTTGTCTTTTAATGTATTGATCAATTAACAAAATATTGTTATACACTATCTGTTAAGCACTCAAAGGTTTGAGAGATAAGTGTGTTTCTCTGTTAAGCACGTGATTGTCAGACTGTCACATGACTCCCAGCTGCAAAACAAACAAGGAGACTTCCGACCCGTCTCCTTCACAATAAAAGCATAATCTATCCAAATATGCAGTTGCCCCAAACAAAATAAGATAACAAAATACAATCCTTTCAAAGGATTGTACTTTGACATTTTGAATACCAAACCCTTTATTGAAATATAGCATTTTTACAGTGTGGTATTTGCAAATGTTTTAAGTACAAAATGAACTTCTTCCACCGCTGTTGAAATGTCCTAATATCTCATTTACTCTCCGCTTTTATTCTGAAGGACGAAGGCGGAAACCGGAAGTGTCATGGCCGCCAGTTGAAGGGAACTCTTCCTCTTCTGGTTCTCAGAATGTCAGCACTCTGAATTAAGTATAAAACAATAGTAATTCTAATTATATAATAAAAAAACAAAGCGTGAAGATGAGCGAGGAACATTACCTGGAGCTGTGTGAGAACCCGGTGCAGTTTGAACATGCCTCCAGCGTCAACAACGTCTTTTTCGACGAAGCTAACAAGCAGGTCAGAAGCTAGTAAACATCGACGGCTAACTAACTGACAGTTTGTTAGTTTAGAAAACATTCTTAACCCTTTTATTAACAGCATTTAATCATTTTAGTTATAGTTTACTTTCTGTACAGTTTGCTGGTTGATGACACATGCATTTATTTTAAATACATTATTTGGCAGCTAAGTTAATAATTACAAGAACTTTGACATCTGGAATCTGGAGAAATAGTTATATTACCACAGTTTGAAAATACCCCACTACAGGTCAAAGTACTAAAAGGAAAATGTATTGAGGTAAAAGTAAAAAATATTGCTTGCTAAATAAATGTACCTAACGTATAAAAGTACTCCTATTGCATCGGTTCCTTTTAGTTTCTAGTTATTATAGCATGTTATATTATTCTATTTTTGCCACAGCTGTTTAATGTTACAGTTTCATGTTATTCAAGATAATTTCTTTTTTTAAATAGGGTCAGCATCATGAGTTTCCTTTCAAATGTTTCGGTCTGATTAAATCAATTATATAGAAACAAAATTAAAGGCGACTGATGTGACCTCCTTGCCAATTGCTATAAATGTCCTCTTACTAATTTTATATTATTTCCACTCGCTTGTTTTGACCAACATCAGTCCAACTCATCCAACCAAATAATAAAAAACTAAAAATAATTAACACACTAAAATGTTAGAAAAAACTAATAATTAAAAAAGCCCCAAATGTTGCATTTAATACAACAATTTCGAATAACTCTATAACAAGTGAAAGTACTTCATTTTAAATCTGAAAATCTGCAATAAAGTCAGATTTTATTGCACTTGTTTTTCTGATTATTTCTTTCTGGCTGCAGGTGTTCGCGGTGCGTTCAGGTGGAGCCACGGGGGTGGTGGTCAAAGGCCCGGAAGACAAGAGCAGTGTTGCCTTCAGGTAAATCAGTCTGTGTTGGAATATCTGAAGGGGTTTAGTGATGGGATTAATATATTGTGTTACATTGCACCTAAGAACAAAGAATGTCCTCTCTTAAACTTAATTGATATTAACTCTTTGTTTTTGTATTCACCTCATTTGTGACATTAGAAATTAGGCAAATGTATTGATGGTGTAACATGTTTGCCTCCACAGAATGGATGATAAAGGAGAAGTTAAGTGTATAAAGTTCTCCATTGGAAATAAAATCTTGGCAGTTCAGAGGACTTCAAAATCTGTGGTGAGTTTGGCAGAACATGACATGAAATCCTCCAGGTTAGAGGTTGAAATGTAATTTTAAGACTAAAAATAATCAACATATTAAACGTTTGTAGTCATTTGAATTATTGTAAAAACAAACGTTGAATCAAGGCAAGGTTTGTCTTAATATTTGATCAGCAAAGTTGCTACTTTTGAATGAATGCCTCTCATTGTTTATGTATACACCAAAGCACATTTGCTGTATGTGTAAACCTACTTGGCAAAAAACCTGATTCTGATTTCAAAGGATTGATTTGAATAATGGAGCTAAGGAATGTTTACCACTGCAGCTTTAATCTGGAGAGAAACTCTAAGTATTGATTCTTTGTTGTCTGCAGGATTTCATCAACTTCATTCCTGACTATCCTCACACAGAGTTCACACAGGAATGCAAAGTAAGTTTTATCTGTCTCTATCTCTTCATTTGAATTCATTTTCAGATAAGAACTAAGATGAGATATGGAGTAATGGCTGATAACAAATATAAGGAGCAGCTCAAAATGACTGTATTTGTGTTTTTTGTTTGTTTTATTGTCATTCAGACAAAAAATGCAAGTGTTCTGGGTTTCTGCTGGACCAACTGGAACGAGATCGTTTTCATCACAGATCAAGGAATAGAGTTTTACCAGGTAAATACAAAACATTTAACTTGTTGTTATGTTTGGTTACTGCTTAGTTAATATTTGAATAATCTGTTTTCTTGAATACTGACTATTTTAATTTGCACGATCAGGACGACACAATCATTTGATCTGAAAACACATTCAAGTGAAAGTGTGTGTCTCCTGAGTGAGTTTCCTTTATATTCTGTGTGTTGCTGCAGGTGTTTCCTGATAAGCGCAGCCTGAAGCTTCTGAAGAGTCAGAGCATCAATGTGAACTGGTACCAGTACTGTCCGGAGACCGCCGTCATCCTGCTGTCCACCACGGTGCAGGGCAACGTGCTGCAGCCCTTCGCCTTCAGGGTCAGGAACACACACTCTATTATTTTATTCTTGTTTTAATTAAGATACATGTACAGACACAATATTTGTACTCTTCCAAAGAAGTGGATTATTTATATCAGGACATTTGAGAAAAAAATGTAAAAGTTGAAGGCTGGCCAACAACTCTGTGTTGACTTTAACATCCTTTATTTTTAATTGAAGTACCTGTGATACACAACTTCACACAAAAAAAAATATATTAAAAATAGCGTTTTCTAAATAATAATCTTTAATGTTCTAATCTGCAGAGTCAGACAGGCAAATGTTGATTTTTAGCAAACAAAAAATGTCAATGTGAGAAAATATAAGCAATGTATGAAGAAATAACACATTTTACTATGAATAAAAAACAATAATTGAGCGCAGATTGTTAGGGGATGAATGCTTACAGTTATTTTTACACACTTTGTGTTTGCAGTGTGTGCATTACTCTTATTTCCGAACTCTTCTAACACCGCATAGATGCAGCAACAGTTTTTATTCACTTATTATTAAATCATTTGGTTTTTATATATTATTCTTTCAGAACGGGACGATGTCCAAGATGTCAAAGTTTGAGATCGAGTTACCGGTTGTCCCCAAACCTGCAAAACTGATTCTGTCGGAGAGAGACATCGCCATGGCATCCATGTGAGTTAACCCTCAATCTACTGTAATATCCATTCTTTATTTTTATTTCTATTTTTTGTATTACAACATTGAAGTGATGAGTGCCTTCTTTTTCTTTTTTTGGTCCGATTTTCCTTTATTTATATTTTCACTGTATTGTAACACGACGAGTGATGATGAGTGTCTTCCTTTTCTAAATCTTTCTCTCCAAAATGTCTCAATGCTCTTTTGTGCTCTCTCTTTCTTGAATTGTCTTCTTTGATATTGATTATATTCATGATGATTCTCTGTGTAGATATGGCCAGTTGTTTGTGATGTATCTGAAGCATCACTCCAGAACAGCCAACAGTCCCTGTGCAGAGGTGGTGCTCTATTACCTACCAAGGTACAAGTACATGTATTTATCTGTTATTTATGACTAACCAAGGTACAAGTACATGTATTTATCTGTTATTTATGACTAACCAAGGTACAAGCACATGTATTTATCTGTTATTTATGACTAACCAAGGTACAAGTACATGTATTTATCTGTTATTTATGACTAACCAAGGTACAAGTACATGTATTTATCTGTTATTTATGACTAACAAAGGTACGAAGGGAAGTTAGAATCCGCAGGTTGTTGAAATGCTGCATCTCTAGTAGTCGTTAAACATATGTGTTAATCTTAATGTGTGTTTTCAGGGAGGGTACGTGTAAGAAGGGTCACGTTCTGCGGCTCAACACGACGGGGAAGTTCGCTCTGAACATCGTGGACAATCTGGTGGTCGTTCATCATCAGAGCTCACAGGTTTAGTACATTTCATTGATTTATCTATATTCATGTTTTTCAATGTTTCTATGGTGGAAGTACATTAACACCACTACTGCACTCCAGTATCATCTTTATACTGTATAAATATATACATTTATATTGTGTTTGTGTTTCAGACGTCTCTGATCTTCGACATCAAGCTGAAGGAGCCTGACTGCACGGTGAACACACACCAACCTGTGCTGCCTGCACGCTCCATACACCCCTACAGGATTCCCTTGACAGGTACACACACACACACACACACACACACACACACACACACACCTAACACACACCTAACACACACACATACTCACACCTAACACACACACATATTGATAGTGTGTTTTATTTTTCCTTCTGTCTCTCTGCAGGTCCTGCAGTTGTTCCTTCTCAGCCTCCAGTACCATGTCAGCTCTGTATCCTTTACTACAAGTACATTTACTCAAGTACTACTTAAGTACACGTTTGACACGTATCAACTCTAATACATCCACAAATTGCAAGTATGTCTGCAGGATATTCTTCTTACTATGATATAATATCTCTATTACTGACATTTGTGCAGGAAGATTATTCTTGAAACACGCATGTGTCTGTGTTTAGATTTGTATTTATTTAAACCAAGTTCTAGTTTTTGCTTTAGTCCAGCAGGAGTTTAAAATGTGTGATGAAATGAAAGTACGTACATTGACTTAAAGGTGGGGTATGTCATTTTGGAGAAACCAGCTCGAGTGCGCTAGAATTTGAAAGTACACAACCGGGAAAAATCTGCCTCTTCCTCCTTTGATTTATTGTCAAAGCATTTAATATATTCATTGCTATCGGGATGTTAAGAGCATTCCATGGAATATAACAAAAAGTCTTTCTGAAATAAATTACATACCCCACCTTTAAGTACACATTTTGAGGTCTTTGCACTTTACTTTGGATATTTCCATGAAATGATCATTTATACTTCTACTCAACTACTCAAATGTACTTTTGACTTTATCTTTAACCGTCGCTCAGACTCTTCCTCCTGGAGCGTGTTCCAACCCGACATCATCATCAGCGCCAGTGAAGGTGAGAAACACACACACACTCAGCGGACTTTCATTCTGGTTATATTTCACTTTTGTAATCTCTTAGTTAGTACTTAATAAAATAACAGGATACACTGATTTATGACAAAGGCACAGCGCAGCGGGAGTGTGTAACAGAAGTGAAAACTAAATATTTTGTCATGATGGGACTCTGTACCTTTTTATCAACATCTATAGACATTAATGAATATCTTATGTGTGTGTTTCTCAGGTTACCTGTGGTACCTGCAGGTGAAGCTCCCCCCCACAGTGAACCTGCTGCAGGACAAAGGGAAGCTGATGGACTTCCTGCTGAGGAGGAGAGACTGCAAGATGGTCATCCTGTCCGTCTGCTCCCAGAGTAAATATGGCTGCATGTTATATAAATACACATGTCCTAAGAAATGTGCGTCTCTAAAAAATGTAATTTACCCATCAAAAAAAGTAATATGTATCTTATTATTTATGAAGGCAAAAGGACATTCTACAAGTGAAGTTATACAAGTAAAATTGTGGTTTTCATTACTATGTTTATAAGATTTAATAATGAATTATACATTTTAATATCTTCATTTATATATTTTCTAATAATATGTTAATTATATGAAATTGATAGAAAGTATATTTAGTAGGTTGCAAATGAATTATCTGGGAAAATAAACAAGAAGAAAAATGTTTCTTGTCTTTATTTTATTATTTGATATGTGACCAATTTATAAAAAATGCAGATGATCTGCTCTGTTAAAGTCTCAAAGCAACACGGTTGCTTCTATCGACAATAAAAAAGGAGCAACAACCATTGGTGCATTTAAACTACATGTTGAATGAAATGTTAATGTTCTGCTTTATTCCCAGTTCTGGAAGGAGGGGAGAAGGGAAGTCTTCCCGTGGTGGCGACCGTCTTCGATAAACTGAACCAGGTGTACAAAGAATACCTGGAGGCGGAGCAGAGCTACACCGTGGTGAGGGAGACGGCTTCAAAAAATACCGTTTAGTACTTCAAACTAAGTATGTATTGTTTTTTGTAATTTAAGATCGGTGTGTGTTTATTTTCTGTGTTGAAGGCGATGGAGTCCGGTCCGAGTCGAGGCAGCGCCGCTCAGAAACGTCCAGTCAGAACGCAGGCGGTCATCGACCAATCAGACATGTACACACACGTCCTGTCCTCGTTCACAGAGAAGAAGGTACGAACACACACACATTTGAATACTTTATTTGGTTCCACAAATTATATTACATAAGACAGGGAATCAAATATATCGGGGCTAAGCAGCACAGAACACTTAAGGGAACACATAGCATCTCCTGCTCCACACAGCTAAGCTGCCAATAATAGCTGAAACAGAGCAATATTTGGCAATTCACACACACACACACACACACACACACACACACACACACACACACACACACACACACACACACACACACACACACACACACACACACACACACACACACACACACACACACACACACACACACACACACACACACACACACACACACACACACACACACACACACACACACACACCACACACACACACACACACACACACACACACACACAGAGAGAGAGAGAAACGTACAAAGCAAAAAGTCTGCAGAAAATGAATGTTTAATATAGAAGTATTTCTGCCTCTGAACCCACTTATTTTAAATGTCAATGTAGCCCATTTCAAACCAGATATCTTCACAAAAACCACTTTAAAACACTCACCTGCGTGCATTTTGTATCTGAGCTACTTTAGTCTGGATGTACTATTCAAATCACAGTCTGTAATGTTCTGCCACAAGGGCTCTCAAAAAAAAAGGTAGACACTCACTTCAATTTGAATGTTATATAAAATCATAAAATAATCATGGGAGTTCATTGGCACATTTTCACTGGCTAATAGATTGTATTTATTTTAAAGCAAAATAGTCTTTATTAAAGGTTGAATTACTAGCATATTAAAGGCTTTGATTCAGATGTATTTATATTTTCTAAGGCATTTATCTCAATGGATATATCAGAGTATTTACAACCAACATAAGGAATACTTACAAGTAATTAAAATAAAAAACGTCAAGAAGAGAAGGATAATTCTGCTATTTGGTCATTGCAAGTTATTCTAGTGTTGTTGGGAATGATTGACTCATTGAACGAAATATCAGAAAATAAAAGATAAATAATCTGAACATATAAAGTTAAAGTCACATTTCCAACAATGTAGTAAATAGTATGAAAATATTTAAATAAATATAAGAAAGTAATGTGCAAATTGTACCACAATATATAACATGTATATTACACTATATAAATGTAAGTAACACATAAAATGTATTGAGTCTTTCTCTGTGCTTCCTGCAGGGTGTGTCTCATAAGTTCGTCATCGCGGTGCTGATGGAGTACATCCGCTCTCTGAACCAGTTCCAGGTCACCGTGCAGGTTAACAGGCAGAGACACCTCACTGAAAAATGTGTTGAAGGGGAAAAAGATGAAACCTTTAGTCTGATTTTACTCTGTGTGTTTCAGCATTACCTGTACGAGCTGGTGATAAAGACGCTGGTGCAGCACAACCTCTTCTACATGCTGCACCAGTTCCTGCAGTACCACGTGCTCAGCGACTCCAAGCCTCTGGTGAGCTATACTTACCTTCATATGCACCATTTAGATATACACAAACATCATTTACACAGTGCTGTTGTGTTCACGTAGATAATGTTAAAATGTCACCCCAATGTTCTGAGTCCTCAAAAAAAGTGCAAAGTGAAGGTGGTTTGTTGTATATCCAAGCATAACTCATTCTAATTGAATTTGAACCTTTTTTGAGTTTCTTCTTGCAAATTAAGGATTTAATAAATTCCAAACACGATTCACATTTGTAACTAGCTAGAGGAGTTGTAATTCTTTATGAATACAATGGCCCTAACACACAGGGCACATAACAAATCAATTAATGTGCAAATCCTGTTTTTCCTTCTTTTTTTCTTTAACATGTGTCCAGGCGTGTTTACTCCTGTCTCTGGAGAGCACGTACCCTCCGGCCCACCAGCTGTCTCTGGACATGTTGAAGGTAAACACACACAGATTCTTTAAACAGGGAAAAACTTTATTTAAACGTCTTTTATTTACATTTTTGTTGTGTGTTTTCAGCGTCTGTCCACGGCCAACGATGAGATCGTGGAGGTTCTGCTGTCCAAGCAGCAGGTTCTGGGCGCGCTCAGATTCATCCGCAGCGTCGGTACGTTTAAATGTTATCTATCTAACAGGATGTAATCTAGGAAAGCCTATTACTCTTTTTACGTCACATTTTAAAATAATTCATCAGAACAATAGTTTAAAAAAAATAAAAAAACAGTCCTGTGAACCTATTTAATAAAAAAAATCACATTGTCAATTATTAAAAACATTAGCTTTTGGGGCAGTATTAAAACATTCTTAATGCACTTCTTTGGAATTTGATTTAATATGATTTGTGTAGAACTTACTTTTGAAATACTTTGAGAATAAAATAGTAATGTTTAGAGATCTGATCCGCAGTATTTCTCGATTTAAAATCTACAAACAAAGAGTGTAAACTTTAAATTAAAGTCGAGGATGGTCCAAGTTTACAGCTAGCCAGGTATAACTTCAATCACTGCCAACATAATAATAATAATGAATAAAGTCAAGTTTAGGAAATAATAGCTGTCTAAAACTGCCCATTTATGACCTCAAATAAAGTTTCCCCCATGTGGAAAAGGACAGTTTGACAGTCACAATACTAGCAGAAATGAGTTTTATCCATCTATTTTGTTTACTGTTTCCAGGCGCCCATGACAACGTGTCCTCCCGAAAGTTCCTGGACGCTGCGCGGCAGACGGAGGATCAGATGTTGTTCTACACCGTGTTCAGATCCTTCCAGCAGAGGAACCAGAGGCTGAGAGGGAACCCCGCGTTCAACCTCGGTGAGGAAACACACACTTTAGTGATATTATCTAAAGTCATATTCCTCTCTTTATGAGTACTTTTTGCATGTATTTTGGTGTATACTACACATGTATGAGATAATTATTAACGTTCCGAGCTTTTAATCGTATGTATTAATAAGTACAATCTGATACAAGTGAAAGTTCTACTTTTTTAATGCAAGACTTTTACTTCTGGCTTAAGTAAAATATAATAGAAGAAATGTAATTAAAGTATTGAAAAATGAATCTCCTAATGCAACATCTCTAGACATCATCTTATTTTAAGAAGTTGTTTTTGTATTAACTCTTGGTGCAAAAATCTAAATTCTGAAAGTAGCTAAAGCTATGAAAACAGATACTCTAGCAAAGTACAAGTACCTCCAATATGTACTATCCCACCTCTGCTCTAATCCATAACTCATACCATACTCATACCCCCCCCCCCCCCCTGCAGGAGAGCACTGTGAGGAGCACGTGGTTCACTTCAAGCAGCTGTTTGGGGATCAGGCTCTGATGAAGGCCTCCACTGTCTGAGAACCACAAACTGAAACACAGACTGTAAACACTCATGGATGTCAGCTGACAGGAAGTAACACTGGGAACCGGTGCACATGTTAATGCACACTCTCGTTATGTTTGCACAAACATCCTGGTTATACTGTGACAGTGAAATCCTTTTCCAAAGTTGTGCGATGGCTCATCAGTAAAGCCCTACTGAGTCAAATAAAATGTCCCTGGTATATGTACAGTAACACCTACTTCCAAAAAAGTAATCAAGTGACTGGTAAACAATTAATGCATTTACGACTACATTCACTTAACATAACTTAATGTTTTAAAATGCATTCTTAAAGTACTGCATCTTTATTCTGAGATTCCTCTCGTACCTGCAGAAGCTCTGATATGAACTGCTGGTATATGCTATTACTGAGCTGCTTCATGTCTGCTACTTTCTGCTGTACACAGTCACATGATCAGAGACAGGTGAGCAGAGACAACTTAAATATTATAATTATGTAAACAAGGAAATGCATAACAAGTTCCTATAGACTTCATGAAATGGAGTTTAAAAACCATTGGAAACATACTTACCCTTTACAGCTCAGGTGACGTGTGGGCCCAATGACATATTGTTTGAGTACCTGTATGAATGTTTTATATGATAAAGAATCTATTATTGTGTTATAATTATTTCTCATTTAAAAATCAAACGGCACTGGGCTGCATGAAGTAACGATGGAAATATGTTTAAATGCTCTGTTGAATACTAGTAAAAAAAACATAGATATATAGCATATGTACAGCTAATAAAAGGTTAAATCCAGAGCTGTGTGAAAGAGTGTTGTTTCTTGTGATGCATTCACATCCTAGTGTGATTATAGTATGTCGAAAAAACAAAAAAAACAACAGTATTTTATGTCGTTTCTGTAATTTTCTTGCATTTTTTCGACATGCTATACTATTTAACATGGTATTCTATGTGGGAATAAGGCACGTTATAGTGTATAGAATCCAGGCGTACAGGTATGGTGTTAAAAATGAAAGAAAAGTCATAATATAGCATGTTGAAAAAAATGACAAAAAAGTCATAGTAAAGCATGTCGAAAAAATGCAAAAGAGTCATAGTAGTTTAACAAATATTTCTGAAAATAACTTGACAATGTAGTATGACGAAATTATTAGAAATATTTTATAGTAGAGTACGCCAAATTAAAGATATAGCTATAGTAGGCTATGTCAAAAAAGAAAGTAAAATTCAATAATATCAAAATATAGTGAAAATAAGTCATATTATATTATACTATGTAGAAGCTGTGGTTATCCTCAGACAGGTGATGCTCACCAGATGGTCGACCACCTCCTCTCTGCTGGCTCGGCAACTGGAACTTTTAATTAATGAGGAAACAGCAGGCCAGTGACTAATTCAACTATCTATTTTACTCAGGAAAAGAAAAATATATTGATTTATTTGTGTTGATACACATTTTCGTTGGAACGGACTGTTCTTAATCCTAGAGAGATAGGTTTCGAATTGGAAACATACAGGTTTTAAATAAAGCAAAACAACTCTTACTGCGCAGTTCTCGTTTTAGCAGCTGCGTTGCAATAAGCAGCCAAGACATTTGACGTTCTTATTATACATCCATGCATTTGACACAGTTCTCTGGCCTCGAAATTGACCGAACAACATTTAACCAATCACATCAGTTGTCATTTATGTTGACAACCAATCATGATAGGACTTTTGGTAAGGTGGGCGTATTCATAAGCCTAGTATATATATAAGCGAAAGGGGGCAGGGTTACAATACAGTAGGTTCCGTTGTTTTCGAGAGAGTAGATGTGTTTTTGAGGTATTAAACGATTTAGAGAACTCTTGACCCGTTTCGGTAAATTATACGCTTAGGTAGCTCGTTAGTTGCCTCTCTTCTGATCGAGTCGCTTAGAAAAAAGCGACTTGATTTAGCTAATAATCGCCTTTTAGTAAATTCAGGTCGAAAGGGATGCCGCTGCAGACAGACTCCGACGGACGCAAGCAGTCTTTGGATTTAATCTCATCGCATTTAATCGGGAAGAGTAGTTTTTCTATAAATTGTAAAAGCCTCAGTATAACACATCCTCGACCGAGTGCTTTTGAAAGATGCTTAAGCTCGAGTGCGAATTAATAGCTTGTCTTTGAAGTAAAGAGAGAAGCGTCAATAATCATCAAGCTAAACGCTAGCTATCGTAGCTGGTCATCAACAAAGCGGGGATCGTTAATCTCTTGCCGTAAGGAGTAACCAGATAGGCGAAGAAGAAGAGTGTCTACGGCTTGCCAATTGAACACGTTATTTTCTGCCTGTGCTGAAAATATTGCTCGGTAAGTGAATTGTGTTTTAACATCGATGTACAGAACCAGGAAGACGATTTGTCAACTTCGACTGAACGGGGTGGGGGAGGGGCGGCAAGAGGAAATTGTTTTTATGGTAAAGGCCTAAATCGACCCTCGCGGGGCGCTGTAGCCCCTCTGTGAATGTTATTATTTACAGCAGTTGTGTTGTGTCAACAGAGAAAATACTTTATTTACCGACTCCATTTATTTGGTATTAAACGGAAAGCAGTAACAACTGTATCGTTACAAATTGTATTTAACTACGTCACAATAGTAAGCAGCTTGTTCGTGTAATACATTGAGTGAACGTCTATGTAACGCTAGTTTTCTTACGTGTTACAACATTTAACTTTCTTCTTCTTTTTTTAACCAGACCACAATGAAGCTGTTGGAAAGCTCCAGCTTTGAAGCCCTTAGCTCCCGGCTGTGTGTTGAAACCGGAGAGTCTCGCATCCTTGGCAGGTAAAGGCACCATGAACAACGAACACAATACTGTAATATAAGCTAGTTTAACATTTTACTGCAACATACTTTTATTTTTATATCTGGGACTATATAGTTATTGCACTCGACCTCACCACACATACACCTCAGCTGTTATTATTGTGTTTTGCACAGACTGAACACACACACATTAGTCCCAGGAGATGCATGCACAGGTAGGGCTGGGTGATGTGAAGAAAAAAGGCACATTTTTGTTTTTATATAAAGGCCAATAATAGAACAGCTACAACAGTATAGTATGTTTAGAAAACTACCTCACTCTACTGTAATTAAGCCTGTAAAACCAGGAAAAGACAACACAGTGCTATGCCCAGGTCACCTGTTTCTGCAGGAACATCAACAGTCAGACTTTTTAGTCTTTATACCAAAGAGAGAAACACTGGAGCCCTTTTCTGGTATCAGGTCATTAAACATGCATGAGAGGTGTGGCTGGTTTATAGATCACTGACTGCTCATAAACGGGGGTAGTAGAGCAAACAAGTTCCTGCATGCAATGCAAAATTGTGATAACAGTAGTCTGTTACCTTAGAGCTCATACCGAAAGTTAATAGCTAACTGACAGTGCATGTTTTTAAATGACCAAACCTAGGTTATGTAAGGCTGTCAGCTCAGCAGGCTTACAGTGACAGTGTACTTACATAAAGGGCGGTGGGCTGTGGAGTTATGCAGCCCAGTCTGAGTGTGGGTGGTGAATCTGAGCTTTTGTACTGGTTGTGACCTGGGGTGACAGCACATCCCGTCCTTTCACACCACTCTGTGGCTATTTTGGAGACAGAGTGAAGAGTGTTATTAGAGCGTAGGTACATGTACATGTACACACAACATATATAATAATACTGCATGATAGCCGAGTGCTGCTGGAGCTGCCAAGGCTTGGGGGATTAGTGAGACAGCAGCAGGGCATCCAAGCTGCAGGTTTGAACAACACATGTAGCCACCAGCCCTCCAGCAAATGTACTGTTTATTTTCTACATATGAGCCTATGATTCAAACACACGTTAACATCGAAATTAAAACTCAGCAATATTGCACAATCATTTACTAAATGCATAAAACTAAACTTAAAAAGAGCACAGCTAGGGCCTTCTGTACATGTAATTTGATTTGTGCAAAAAAAGATGAATAATAAACAGTGCATAAATGGCTAGTGCAAAAATAACGGAACACATTAAAACATAAATGAATATGTTTTTAGCTGTTGTAAGAGTTGTGTACAGATGTTAAAAGAGCTTGTTGCTGTCACATCTTTTTTTAAATAACCTTCATCGTGTTGATAGTCCTCACTCGGCTCTAGTTTCTGCTCTGTCTTCTGGTTACAGTGTTTAGTCGGCAGGTCAGCTGTGTTCCGTATGTATGTGGAAAAACCAGGGCAGTTATTTCCACTGTGGTGTCGCTGCCACCCGGCGTCCTATTATTAGACTGGTAAGGGTCTCCGTAGTGCGTCTAACTTAAGTTGCGCAACCTTTGCTCTTGTGTAACCCATAGGTGGGGGAAGGCAAAAATAAACAACTCCAATCTGCTTCACTCACAGTGTACAGTGGCGTCTGACCCAGAGTCATGAAGGAGCAGGCGGGAAACATTTAGCACTGGCCTGCTCTTGTCAGCTGTTTCTGCAGATATGGCTCCAGGGGCAATCTATTCTAACTGAAAACTGGGTTATAGAGATCTTGCATTCCACTTAATCCATTTAACAGTTTAAATATCAGATATGCCACTAGTTTGTTCCCCCAAATAATAAAGCTGCAGGGATTGCACACTCTCCCAGATAAGAGATTACTAAAAGTGATAAAGCCAGTTAAAAAACACAGAAATAACAACATTTAGTCTGCTAGTTTTCTATTCTATAATATAATGTCCTACATTATTTATTTGGTTACTGGTGAGGTACATTTGGCATTAATGCATGTTAATACCCTGATTTGCTCCTGTTGTGTAATTGTGTGTTTAAGCCTAATGGGCTATTAAAGTAATCTTAGGGGATTTTGCAAACACTTTCACTTCTGTAATCCCTTCCATTATGTTTACAGCATACACGGTTCATTTAGCACATGATTATCAGATACACAACAATACATTATTTATATTTCTGCCCTGCAGGATGGAGAGCTACTCCTGTAAGATGGCAGGGGATGACAAACATATGTTCAAGCAGTTCTGCCAGGAGGGCGAGCCTCATGTGCTGGAGGCTCTCTCCCCCCCCCCAGTCCACCAGCGCCACCAGCCCTTCACAGTGAGTACTATAAAGGATAATGCTGTGTTTTTGAACAGAAGAACACCGGCCTTTAGTGAGATGAGATAGTAGGGATTTTACCTTTTTAAATGTACCTCTGTATATTTCCCGTGCAGGCTGGGGAAGAGCAGTGAAGACGGGGAGAACCCGCTGAGTGACAAGTGTTGCAGGAAGACTCTTTTCTACCTCATCACCACGCTCAACGAGTCCTTCCGGCCCGACTACGACTTCAGCGCCGCCAAGGCCGAAGAGTTCAGCCGAGAGCCCAGCATCAACTGGGTCAGCATCCTGCTCTGAACACAGAACATATTGTATACATGTCACAGATACATTTATCTCAACATGAAGACCTTTCTTCAGGTGGTGAATGCCGTGAACAGCAGCTTGTTCTCAGCTGTTGGAGAGGAGTTTAACTCTCTGGGGCCGGAGCTGTGGAACGCCATCGACCAGGAGATCAACCTGCAGGGCTGTGACTTTTACAGGTGTGTGTTACATGCATTATTATATAGCAGATCATCTGTTCCGTGTGGATGCTTTTCTAAGCTCTTATTGTGTCTCCTTAGCTACAACCCTGATCTGGACTCTGATCCTTTTGGCGAAGAGGGGAGCCTCTGGTCCTTCAACTACTTCTTCTACAACAAGAAACTCAAGAGGATTGTGTTTCTCACATGTCGCTCCGTCAGGTCAGCACCTGAGGCATCATCCTCTTGGTTCAAATAAATCCGTTTCTGAAAGACGGCAGATCATTTAGCATACATGGGATGGTGTACAATTCTTTTTCATACCTGCAGTGTCTTGAGTGGCTATGGCCGGGACTCACTTGACAACGAGCTGGACATGGAGCTGGATGACGAGGAGGAAATGGATGGCTTCACTTTGGACAGGTGAGACAAATGTCCATTATTCTGATTTACAATATTGACTTGAAAATATGCTGGTGTAAAGTACTGAAACATACCGTTTGTTCTAATGCAGTTCTATGATGGAAGAACATGTGAATTAGCTTATTTTGCATTAACATTGTTCTCTTCTTCTCCCAGGTTCCCCAGAGTTCTGTGCGTGTGATTCTGCCTGCAGGACACGCCTCAGCCAAACAATATCTTGACTTTTCCTCTTCCCCCTCCCTCCATTTTCGCCCTCATGTTCCCTTTTATTTTTGTATTTAGCTGCCTCATCCAAAGCCATTTTCACGCTTTAGACAAATGCATGTTTGAAGCCTTCTCTGTGTACCGTGAGCCGGTGGACATTTATTTAAACCCTGCGGTAACTTTAAGGCTCCTCTTTCTCCTGTATGAAGGCACACATATATATATATATATATATATATACTCATTTACAGGCTTCTCTGCACCTGCAACATTTCCAAAAAGACCCCTTCATGGACGCTTCAAAAGAAGAAGGTGTTGTAATGGATAAATAACAAAGACTGTAGGGGAGTTTCTTGCAAATGATGTCACAAAGGAGTCCAGAAAACACCAGCATCATAAAAACAGACATTTGATGATATTCCTACATTGGAAGGGGCTGGGCTGAAAGACCCAGTAGAGACTGATTTCCTCTTCAGAGGAGAATTGTTTCGTTGTTGCCAGTTTTTGTGATTTGCTTCTTCTGTGTGACAGTGATCTTACTGTGACAACCTTTTCAGCACTGAGTTTGACCTTTAAAATCGCTGCATTTCTAACTGAAAGTTGTATTGTTGAATCTTATTACTGCGAACGCTCGTCTGTACTTTAGACAGCAGGGCACGGCCGAGGGAGCTCTTGGCATCTCAGACATATATCAGCGTTTAACAAATGTCCCATTGTTTTTGCTTCAATCCCCATTTACAAAGTTCCATTTTATACGTAGTTGATTTTCCAATCCAGTATTTTTTCACTCTTCCCCTTTACTGATTTAACCCGTTTCTAAACGTCTATCTTGCCAGTGTTTTTTCTTTGCTCTGATCTCAGTGTAAAGGCTTCATTGAATGAATGTATAGTACAACTTAGAGAAAAAACATAACCGTAAAATTGCTATGTTGTACATTGTTTTATAGAAATTGAGAAGCTCCTCTTACTTTCCTTACAAGTGGTTAGGAGTTGTCTTTTCTTGACTTCTCTGTGCTTCATTTGATTGGCCAATATATTACAGATGTTAATAAAATGTTGTTTGAATCAAACTCAGATTGTGTTTTTTCTTTGTAAACTCAGAAGTTTTTATTTCCCAAATCTTTTCCCAAAGATTTTAGTCCAAGGTGGATTTCAAATATGCTAAAAAGAAACTGATGTATTCAGGCTCAAAGTTCAAAACAAACTTTTATTGAAAAATAAAAACTGAATTACAGTACATGACCCCGACTGGACCCCACCATACTGATAGTATACGATCAGTTCCCTTGCTTTGTAAGATCAAGGTAAAAGCTGTAAACCTCAATGCTGCACACTTCACCCTTTTTCCTCTTTGTGTTAAAATACCTTGCCCCACAACAAATACACTGTAGAGACCCTGAGGCACTCCCTGACCAAGATGGACACCAGTTCTTCACCACTGTTGGGATTGAAACTCATGCACCTCACACTTTTTGGCCACTGTGGAACTTGCAAAAGGTAGACATGGTTTCAAAGTGACGCGTGCATAGATCTGTTACCAAGGAATTCTTATACCAGGTCAAAGGAAATAAGGGTAAAAATCATGGGCAGACTTTTCAGATTCATACACATACTGTCCTCCAGACACTCACAATAGCATGGTTAAGGCTGAGGATCAAGTAATATACCTAAATGATGGCCAACATATTAAGATAAAATGATCTTAATGCTACTTAGTCCAGGTGGCTGCAGAGAACCAACTTCCCCATAAATGTGCTGGCTAATTCTGGCGGCTTTGTTTAAAAAGTACAAAATGTTTAAAAGTGGAATATATTCTGCAGGAAATGACTGAAATGTTTGTATGATAATGTCAAACACACTTGCAGCACCAAAGATCATCTGTTAATACAGATGCCCACTCACCACGAGCAAACATTCTTAAAAATAATACAATTAAATAAAAAACATAATGCATCATTGACAAAACATAGTGTTTACATTTAAAATACTGCCATTAAAAAGGGAGCATTGTACTTGCATATGAATTCCATTTATTTAATTCTTTGCAAAATTAAATAAATGGCTAAAGTGAGGGTCAGAAAAGGTTGAATCTACACCATGTGGCTCAAATACATACAAGTACAAGCTCAGAGTTAATAAAGGGAGATTTGTATTTGACCACGTTTCAATACGGCACCGTAAGACCTAGAGAGAGAATAACCACCGACAATGTAGCTTATGAAACTGAAATGTGTAACAGATATTAATGGCTGTGCTAAAAATGAAGAATGAGAACATTATTCTGAAAAACCTCCGTAGTGCCACCATTCCCCCCTGAAAATGTTACAATACTGCTTGTAATCCCTTTGTCGAGTCAATTGTTACCTGAACATGAACAAACTTGTATAAAGGCAAAAAAAACGATATTAATAATAGAGCTGCACCAACGTGATGTCTCATGATATGAAATGGTGTGAGGTGACATGATATGTATTTAGTGTGAAGGATGTCCAGTGCACACCTGCTTTGCACTTGGACATACTCTCAACTCATCGAAATGATCTTCTTCCCCTCCTCTGCAGAAAAAGCGACTGTTTGTTCCAGATAACCGGCGAGGGTCCCCAGTTCAGGTCACGTCTCCAATTGGAGAGACACCGGCTCCACTGTGTGTTAATAACCCTCCAGAAGTCAATGTTTGTCATTAAAAAAATATAAAGCAACGATAAGCAAGTGAGGAGAAGCTGACGTAGCCACTGTGTGGTGGTGCAGGTCATCAGGCCGTAGAGGGGGCGAGGGGCTATCTGAGGCCGGCCCGCGAGGTCATCCACTCCAGGCCTTGGCATAAACTGGAGGAACAAAAAGAGGCGTCAGAAAGGACGAAGAAATACTTTAGACAGAAGACTACATCAAGGATGTTTTCATAGCGTAGCACATTTTCCCTAGCGGTACTAAATATTTACACAAAACACATGGACAGATATATTTACTGTTCTTCCTGTCTGTGCTGAGAACACATGTAAAGCTTCAGGGCACAGTGACATCTGGTGGTTAACAGAGCTCACTGCAGCGCTACAACATCGGTTACAAACACCTGGTTACAATCTGAAATATGTGAATTAAAAGTGTTATTTATTAAATGTATTATTGTTTTGTGCTCAACTGGAAAATGCTCACATTGTTGTAAAAGGTTCTGTAGTAAATAAATAAGTACATGCCAGAACTAGACATGACATAAATGTACCCTGTGTGTGGTCTTTCTAATCACATGGTAGACATGCTACAGCTTACATGAATTGCACTGCAATATGTTGCGGTTTAAGAAAGACATTCATTAAAATACCATTATGATAATGCTTGGTAACAGACTGAGATAATTCTCTATGTATGGTGAACATTGCCCTTTCTTCTTATCCTACTCATGTACACAAACAGTGTATTTCAAACAATTTTGCCTCTGTATACTCAAAACTAATCCAGGTTTGCACACAAAAGAATAACTTGCTAATAACTTGTGACAACACGTCTTTTCATCAATGTTGTATTGCGTTAAGTTGTTGTCCTTTATACGATATTAAGCTCAGTCAGCTATCCTGCTAACACACAGATATGATAAACACGAGTCTCACCCCTCTCCTGTAAGTGCGCAGCAGGACTGTATGTGCCAGGGGTGATCTTTGATGGAGCTCAGGCTGAGGTATTTGGAGATCTCCGCTGCAGACATACAGTCCTTCATATCCTGCTTATTGGCAAATATCAGCACGGCTGCTTTCCTCAGGTCCTGAGGGGAGAACACGAAACAATGAAACCATAAACATGCCACCTTTTGAAGCTCTATACAATGAAATGTGGAAGGGGATATGCTTGGTGGAAACCCGCAGTCCGAGTGTGAACTCTCCTCTTTATGGCCATACAAAGACGTGTTAAGATGTTTTACCTCGTGAGCCAACATCCTGTAGAGCTCCTCTTTAGAGATGGCCAGCCTCTCTCTGTCTGTGCTGTCCACTACCAGAATGATGAACTGCAGAGTAGGAGGCAAGAATCACACTGACGGACCGCTTCTCAAAAACACATTTACAGAAAGTGCAACACAGCAGGAGGGCACTTCCGGGGCCAAGGGCCTCACAATGGGTTCTGGTGACTGCTATGCTAATAGCCTGGTTTTGAATGAGAGACCCTGTATGACAAAAGACCAATGGCATGTTAATGTTGCTGTGATGTGCGAGGCGCCATTAAAGGAAAAAGCTTCAGCAACACGCGTTCTCCAACATGACTGTGACCCACATCACAGCCAGGGATCTACATGAGTGTGACACCGCTTCACTGTGGAGTGAAAGACTGCAGTTACCATAGTTACTCTAGGGTTAGTACATTATATGGTTTCTTTAGTAACTGTAGGGCTCCTAGCAACTCTATTGTAAAAGGTATTTAGAGCTACTCTGCCATTAAGATTCTTAAGTGCAAACATTGGTGGGTTTTTAGTATACTATTGTATTAAGTCTGTATTCACTTTTTATAAGATGCTCAAGGTAAAGTTATCTGGTTTGTCAAACCTCTATTGTGAAAAAACTATAAATGGCCACACAGTTTTTAACTTTATAGAATGTTTTTCTTTGTTTATTAAAAGTTAAACTATCCCAAAGCCCATAATTGTGTTCATTCTGCCTGATTAGTCCCAACAAGCAATTTCATTTATTTTCACGTGACAAAAACAAACTCACGTGTATATGATTGATTTTTTTTTTTTAAACTGACTATTTTTCTGCAAATCGACTAATTGTTGGAACTGGAGAAAATCAAAAACATCCTAGATCCCTAGCAAGCAATTTAAAAGAGTGTGTTTTTTTCAAGTCAAAAAACAAAATATATTATACATAATAAGCACATCCTCATAATTTAGAGGCTTCAAAAATGATGGAAATGTTTGAACAACCACAACATGCTGCTCAGTCTGCTGTCGAATAGGTTTTGAGCTTTTTAGCAGAGACATGTTAGAGAGCAAGAGTGGAGGAGTATCGCTTATCTGAATAGGTGTTTGCTTTTGCTTGTGACTCGTACAGTGAATGGAAATGGAAATAAGGGTTGAATGCAGGCTGGATATCGCACGTCCTCGAGGAAAGTTAGATTCTGTAAGACACATCTGCCTCCGCCATGCCTCTCCCGTTCTTCTTCTCCTTTCTCCAAAACACTGCAGAGGCTGACCCCTGCTTTGACGTTCAGACGGCCCCCTTTGTAAAGGCTGACCCCCTGACATTGGGCGGTCCCCGCTGCCGTCTGTGCTCTGAACAAACACACCAGCTGCCACGCTCAGGAAGAAAACTGCTGCTGGACAATACTTCTGTTCCCCTCATCGGATAGAAATAGTTCAGAGTGTACGACATGAGTTGCTTGTTTTTCTCACCTCTGTATTGGAGTAGTAGGTGTTCCAGGAGGACCTGAGGGACTCCTGTCCTCCTATATCCCACATCAGAAAGTGAGTGTTCTTCACCACTATCTCCTCCACATTGCTCCCGATAGTGGGTGACGTGTGGACGACCTCATTCATCAAACTTTTGAAGGAAAGAATCATAGTTAGTTTTTGCTGGCAAAGGAAAACTGACCAAAAAAGGTTCCAACTGTACATTCTTTTAACAAAATGACTTACAACTGGTAGAGGATGGTGGTTTTTCCTGCGTTATCCAATCCAACAATTATAACCTTGTGCTCTGCAAAAAGAAATACAGTATTACATAAACTTCAAGGAGGACATCGTTATCAAGAAAACACTCATGCCATAAAGTACATCGTGTCCCTGTCTATACAATGCATTACTTCTTTGCTGCCCATTACAAAATAATACAGGCTGAACTTATTCTAAAACTTCATGACCTCTTTCCCCCGCAGCTCAAACTGCAGGACATCTTTCCATTCATAAAAACCAGCTAGCACAGTTTGTAACAGCACAGGCACTGTAGGCCGTGAAGCAGACTAAATCCAAAATCAGAGCTGACACGGACATGCCAAAATATCCCACTTTAGTGTTTTGACTTGTCCGCCCTCCTGAGGCCTCTGGCAGCGGAGGAGGAAGGAAGTCTGGTCAGAGGGCTCCAGTCCTGACAGATTCTGAGCACCAAAGTCGTTTTGGGGGGTCACTGCATGTCTATTGCTTCCCTGTGAGGATCCCTGTTACATTGATCAAATCTGAGAACTCTCCTTTTCAACAACTCCTAACAGTCTTTTCTACGAGCTGAAACATGTTCCTGCAGCACATCTCTAACCCGAGGTTGGGTCAGATTCCTTCTAAATGTATAATGTCAGTGTGAACAAACTAGATGTCGATTTTAGAAGTCAATAATTTATTCCAGTGGATTATTTGAAAACAGCTTTCCAAGCAGAACACTTACAGGTTACTAATTCCTTAAAGATGAATGTGTTTCTCCTGTATGTACCTTTTTAAGTGGTGAAACTGCACCTCAGGAGTAATAGCTAGACTTCCTTTAGAACACAGCAGCAAAAAATGTTCAGAAAAGAATAAAACATAAAGACACATCTATAGTGATATTTCACAATTGCCAGCACTAGTACTTACTACACTACATTTGAGGTGACTTAACTACTGTTTTGATTGCATGTTTTAAGCTACGACTATGATCCTCACACTGCCACTTAGACTTTGCCTTTAAACCCTTAAAATGAATGAAACTTGACACCAGGAATAGTGTAATCCAGAATTAGGCAGGGAGTAGGAATCCTTCTCTGCTATCCTCAGGGCCGAGAACAATTCAACACATGCCAAAGGAATTAAGGCAAGAGGGAGTTCCCTTGTGAAAACAATGATCTTTACACTATGATATGAAAATGCACCGTTAATTACCATTAAGCATGAAATAACACATCCTTTTAAAATCCCTCTTTCTTATTCCCTCATCCATCCCTTTCAGCCAAAAGATACTCACACATTGAAAGCAAACTGCTCTAAAATCTAGTTGAACACTTCAATACCTTACACCACTTGAGAAGACTCACTGACTAAATACTTAAAAATCAAACAAAGCACACCCTTACTTTGTTCCCTGCAGATGAAAGTGGAAAAATGTTCCACATGAGCAATATTTTTTACATTTGTAATAAAGCACACACATGCGATACAATATGGGTATTTTAGTTGTAACGGGTGGGATTAGCTAGCCTTTTTGTTGCCTTAATCTCAGTGTCTTTGTTGTGCTTTTCCTTTGTTTTTCACTCAATTCTAAAATGAGCAACAACTGCATAATTATTATGTTAAAGTCACATACATACAATAATGAGTGAGCTTACATTGTGAAGCAAATTACACAATAAATATAACATTTTCATTAAATTACTTTTTAGAAACTCAGGGGAAAGTTATGTAATGTTACCCGAAAAAAACCACTGGCTGAATACACTCTTACAGACTTAGTTTGACTTAAATTAATCATATTAGTTGACCCAGTGATAAAGAGATTAAGTATTTGGGGTGGCACTGAAGTTGTAGAGGTTGTTTTGCATTGCGAGTTAGACAAAGGCAGCTCAGATGGCAGAGTCCTGAAGTCACGGAGAGATGTAGCGAGATAATTCAGACCCCATCTGTTATTATGGGTCTTGCTGCTCACTTTATGCTAACGGGCTAACACTTATTATCCTCGGTTGAGTAGCTAGCGGGAGGTTAGTGAGGCGTAACAATTGTACCGACACCCACCTTGGTTACAGAAGAAGCTCCACAGTTTGGCGAATATGACGCCCATTGTTTAGGTTAACGTCTTTCCGTAGTTCCGTCAGTAGAGTGGGCAGCAGCACCGAGCTTCTCCACTCTCAAGTCCACACCGCGGCTGGCTGCGGCTAGCTAACATTAGCTGGATGATCTCTTGTCCGCAAAACACCTCACCGTCCTTTTGAACGCAGACTCCATGCGCTCCGGTTAGCTAACGCGAGGATAAAATGGTGGAACGTAACATAGACTTTATATATTCTTGTCGAGTGGCTCAGGGAGACGTTGAAGCCTCCACAAATCGTATAAACAGGCTGAGAAGTGCGGCACTGTGTTGACTCTGCTCGCACGGCTTCTTCTGCCCGTTGGCTGCTGGCAGTTAAGTGGTTTGCTGAAAAAAGCAACCCCAGCTATTCAGTTGTCTTCCAACGTGATGACGTCAAGGCGTGTACACGTTGGCCTTTTTTTGGGACAGCATTTTAAGACACAAAAACACACGAAGGGAACAGACCTAAATATAACACAAGTACAATACTTAAAAAATAAGCCTACTTGGTTGTAGGCACAGTAAAACATACAATACTTTTCCTTTCACCATAAGACAAATTGTAAAGCATTATACTTTCAGTTTTCTTCTTGTATATTTTACTTTTTAAATGCTATGAATTTATTTTAAGTCACCCTATTTAGCATGCATAAGCAGTATTTCTATAATGTTTGTGTAGGTGTGTCAACAATTAGAACTCCTCCTGTGGTAATGAGCCCGGTGTTTAAACATAAACTGAATGACAGTGTTAACAAATGCTCAAACAATGGCTTCATAGAAAAGGTTATAATTGTTGACAAATGCATAAAATAATTATTGTGAAAAGTACAACATTCAAGTATTTAAAATACATGTATTACATGTGTACATAATGCATATTTATACACCTTGCGTTTCTTAATACAACACACATACCATAAGTATCGGTGATCAACCATAGACTTCATAGATAAATGAATCAACAGGCTGCATTACTTGGATTTATACGGACATCAACTACTGACACGTGACCAAGCTAGTGACGTATACGGAAGTAATTGTCAAAACACCAGCGCTCCATGCCTCCACAGAACGTGAGTACCTAAAGATTGTTAAAATAGCCTTAAGATACATTTTACTCCTATATTTGACTATTGACAAGTCAGTAATTGTGTGTGAAGAAATGATATGTGTAGAATAGGATTAACCACGAGTATTTAGATGACTAATATGACCTGTGACTTAAAGTAACGTTAAGTGTGAACGAAAATAATGAATGACAGGAGACGCACTTACAGTATTTAAAGGACATTGTGTGCAATGATTAACGGGTTCCGAGATTAATTAATTCATTATTTTCATTAAAATATTTGTACGTAGGCCTATTTTATTGTTTTATTCTGGGCTTTTACGTTGCAGTCGTTTTAAATTGCAATCGTAATTTGTGAAACGTTGTGTTTGCCTTGTGGGGACAAGCGTGCACCATGTGCAATACACTAAAAACAAGAATTATTCAAAATTAATAAGTTATAACACTGGCATCAAATCAATCATGAATTTGGTTTCTTTAAAACATGTCTCAAATTGAGCTTAATAGGATCCCAGTTATGATCCATTTTGAGTTGTTATTACAACTGCCTCCCTTCTGTGGAATAGACCTCAGTAAAGTGTTTTCGTCTTTAATTATCCCCCACAATATCAACATATCACCACCACTCACCGTTTTTTAACCTCAACCAATCAAGACCACAGCCCTCAGAACTGTAAGCATATCTTTGTACCTCATTTTATTGCAGTGCATCTTGATTTATTTGCTTTTCTGTTATTGTTACTTTCCTTTTAACAGATTTAAGTGATGTCTACTTTTCCAAGGATATCCCTGAGACCTGAAGTCACTGATTATCTCAAGAATGTCTTCTTAAACAAGGAGGTAGACATTTCATTGTTTTTCTTTGGAAACGGTTTGTGTTTTCAGGAGAATCATAAATACACCTCTTAAAAAGTGGATGTCTTTGCTTCAGTGGAAAAGCTAACATGGAGGTAATCTGGGAACCTTCATGGCTTACCATAGAATTTAGATGAACTGATGCCATGACTACAAATTACCTCAGTAAAACCCTCCCTAACATAGTTAAGGCTTTCCACAGAAATGTTGTCATAACTTCTGTGCTATTTTTGTCTCCCCACACTTGTGTAAATGCACTTTCATGGCATGGTTTGTTTTTTTGTATCTATAATAATGAGTCCCAGAATCAGCCCTTAAATGTATGTTTTGTGTTATAGTAGAAAGTTAATTGCAGATGATGTTCTCAATGGTAAATGTAGTCCTGTGAACTACAGATTAATTCTATACAAAAGTTGACCTGAGTTATGTAAGTTCAGGGTAGTAATGTTATTTTTACTTTAAATAGTTAAAGTTGAATGTTTTAGTGGCATTTGCTGAATCTCAAAAGAAGCCACGTTTCTGACAGTTTTCTAATTGCCAATCCCATAATTTTCATACTTTGATCATCCTTTTTGAGTTCAGGTGTTAGCAGCAGTCGGCCATCAGGAGGCAGAAAGTCGTTTCCAGAGGCTGCTCACATGTCTGTCTCACCCTCCTTCTTACACATGTGTTCGGGCCAGTACTCATCTCGCTCCCCTGGAAGAGATCAGACACAAGTTAGGGGAGGAGCTCAAAAAGGTGAGGAACAAAGGAAATTACCCACAGTGGTCGTCAGTCGGGCCCTAACTTTTCTCTGTGTTGTTGTTATTGAAGCAGCAGATGTGCACCTCATCAGAAAAGGAGGTCTCAGTTCAGATTCTTTCTCACCCACGAATTCCAGATGTGCTGCTGCTTCCTGTCGATGGCCCGAGGTATGTGAGGAATGCTAGAACCACGTCAGAGCGATCTGAATGTGCTCTATGGAGAACACACTTAGCTTTACATCGCCGTATCAGTCTGCCCATAGGGAGTGTTTCCTCAGGCCAAACCTACATTGATTTTCAAACAATGACAACAGAAAAACAACTCAGGAAATGTTGTTTACCAATTTCAGTAGGATCAATTATTTGTAGATGTGCGTTTCATGCAAAAAAAATACAGTAACAGTACAATAAAGATGTCAGTGGTATCATTTTTTTATTACTTAAAATAAAATACTTAAAATATGCAACAAATTGTGAACCCATGCCAAGATTTGCTATATCTCCAGTATACAAATTGTCCGTACTAAACCAAAGGAGGATGCTTTAATGAGATGGATGTAGAAGTGTCTGACTTCCATCCCTCTCCTGTTCTCAGACCTGTGGAGCAGCTCAGATCAGAGGTGGTGGTTGGCGCTCAGTGTGGCAGTGCTGTCCTCAGAGGCGCCAATGTCTTTGTCCCGGGGATCCTAGCCAGCCCCAAGTGTAAGACTCAAACACAGATGCTGGGAAAGATATGTGTCCAATACACATCTAGTTACAGTATATTCAACAATGTAGAGCTGTGGTTTTCTAACTTGATATCTGTTTTAGTCATGAAGGCTGGCGATGTGGTGTCTGTCTTCTCTGACTTGGAGGGTCGCTGCACCCGAGGAGCCACAAGCTTCCAGGGAATGAGAGGGTTTGTGGGAAATGGAGTTGCTCAAATAGACCGCTCCGGCATCTTCTGCACAGATGTAGCTGCCAAGTAAGTAAATGGCTTTAAAGGAGGAGTAAACAACATATTTCCAAAGCTGAACACCTTTATTATAGTGGTTGCACATCTGTACAGTTTAAAATAAAATGTAATAAGCAAAACATATTGCACTGTTTTCTGTTATTTTAGGGGAGTAGGTGTTCGGATGGTAGAGCCACTTTACCAGAGCCCTTCCTTTGATGGTGTTCTACCAAACCTGGCATTCCTGCAGGTATTTATACTTTTAAAATGTAAAATGGAGTAATTGAAACACAGTTCTTATCTATACATGTACCAAAAGTGACCAAAGATTAATGAAACGGAGGAAAACCCTTGTAGTATTTGGACACCGTTTTGCCTTTTCTCACGAGGTGTTTTTCCATGTTGTGCAGAACCTTCCCTCTGTAGTGGTGGGACATGTTCTCGGGCCTCTTCCTGGAGAACGGATCCTGGATATGTGCGCTGCGCCCGGAGGGAAGACCTGCCACATCGCTGCACTCATGAGGGATCAGGTACAATTTGCTGGAGGGATCAGAGTTAATATTCAGGCTTTCAATCTGAGAATCCAGCCTATTAAACACAAATCTAATGCACAGCTTGATCTAGAGCAGCAGTTCCCAAAATAGTGTTGCAAGATAAATCTGAGGGGTAATGAGACGATGTATGGGATTGTAGAGGATCAAAAACATATTTATTTTACACTTTTCTCCTGACTTTTCTGTAATAATAAAGTACGGAATAGTTTTCCCCCTTCAGGCTTCTAAGGGGTTATTCATATGAAACTACTTGAGAAAGGTTGAACAGCTTATGGAATTATTAAACTTCTAATGACATACAGAGACATTTAAGTGGAATCAAGCCAAAAAACCATGGGAGTCAACTGTGGTTGTTTCTATATCAGGTCACTTACTGTAGATATTATTTGTTTTGATTAGAATAAGTGTTCAACCAATGGTTCCTACTACAGGTTTTTACCTTTACTGAAGTAGAGTTTTGCAGTACTTTCTTTTGCTATTTTTTTACATTTCTGCCCCGCTCGATTTATCTGAATGCTAAAGTCACAAATTTCTTTTAAACCATGCGACGCACCTGCTTGTGTAAAGCATTTTCTGAAATATTATTTTTGTTTTATTCTCATGCTGCAGCCTGCCTCACATCTAGAAGATAGGTGAAACAAGTTGATTCAAATTATAAACGGGTTGACATTTTCTAGCTGGACTGCTTATCAAGCCTTTTCAAAAATTAAAGTTTAAAATGTTATAACTAAAACAAAAATGCTTCCTACACATAAATGCATCAGTGAAAATGATACTATTTGTACTTTATATATAACGCTGTTAAACGACACACTGCCTGACGAGTATTTGATGAGAAGATTTTCCTTTTAGAAGGATCTGATGCTTTTTGTTTCTTCTTAATGAATTTCCGTCTCTTTCCGTCTCACACAGGGTGAGGTCGTGGCCCTGGAGAAAATCAAAAATAAGATTGATCGAATTCGTCAAAATGCCAAAATGTTGCAATTAAACTCAGTTAAAGTTTATTGCTTTAACAGCACTAAAGCTGTGAGCAGCGACTCTGCACAGGAGCATGAAGGTACACAGTGACACATACATGATATATAAAGCCAACTCTCAGTATGCTGTATTTACTTACTTCTGTTTCTGGACTTCTTCCAGGACCTCCTTTCCCTGCTGAAAGTTTCGACCGGGTTCTCCTGGACGCCCCCTGCAGTGGCCTCGGGCAGAGACCCAGCATGTCCTGTACCTGGAGCCTGAAGGAGCTCTGTTCCTACCAGCCTCTGCAGCGCAAGTTATTCCACGCTGTAGGTTTTACCACACAGAGGAAGCACTTTCACATCCGATTTAACTCACAGCATTGGTAGTGGCTCCTTTTGACCAGTAGATGGCAGCAGATGGCATACATTACACTGAAATCACAACTAAACTCCAAATACACTCAAAGATTATTCATTCAGAAGTTTTCCCTCTACTCAAATCATTACTATACCTTATCTCATCAAGTGCATTTAAAACCAAATCCACCAATACTGTATTACTGAAAATGTTCTTTATAATATACCCTCCATTAGGTGTTAAAGGTCCCATGTCATGGCCATTTCTACTGATCATAATTCCATTGTTGAGGTCTACTAAAATAGATTTATATTGTGCAATTTTGCAAACTCACATTGGTTTCTCATATAGCATCTCTGTATAGTATGTGTATTCACTCTCTGTCCTAAACGGCTTGTTGGAGCTCCTGCCCCCCCCCCTCCCTGTGAGCCCAGTGGCCGTCTGCGAGACACAGCGAAAACCCAGCCCGAACACACACACACCCGCAGCCTGGCTGGGAGTTTGTGTGTGTGCTCTCACACAAACTCACAGCCTCGCCACGTCCCGTCGTCTCAGGCTGAGAAATCGGCGGAGCTGCAGCTGAGAAAAGATTGAGTGTGTGTGTGTGAGGAACGGCTCCGCGGACGTTACGTTACTATACCCAAATACGTCACTGTACCCAGGAAGAAAAAAAGAAATCTCCAACGAGGCGTTCTGGGGCAGCATAGACAGGTCTTTTCTGTGTTAGAGTTTTACTCGCTACAGGGTGTACTTTGAGGGTTTGTGACTCTGCAGACCGTTTACATGCATAAAAAGCTACATAACACACAAGGGGACGGGTAATAACCAGAAAAGCATGACATGGGACCTTTAATACAAATACAGCTTTCAGCTCTATAGGAAAACAAATGTCACCCGTCTTTTGCGATAACTTAAAATGAAAGATAACTTAACTAAGTATTGTGATGGTGTTTTTAAAGCAGCCCCAGGAAGTATTTCTACTTTTACATTAAGCAACTAAGACACACAATCTCGTCACTTTTATACATGTACATCAATGTAGACTAAAGTAAATGTAAAATCTGTTTGCTTTTTTTGCTTCGAGTATGGCTAACAGATGGATTACTAAAGAGGGATTAGAGTCCAATGCGGAGGACATCAATTATCCCCAGTGCCATATAGTGCTCCATCACACGCATGTTATTAAGTCTCATCTAGACTAAATAAAGACGCATTTCTGTGTCTGTGCTTGTATGAAGCTTAACTTGCAATAACTTATTGTTGTTGGCCACGTGGGGGCAGCAGAAACACAACTGACCTTTTGAGTTGGCAAACGCGTTATCAAACATGCTTTTATCATACCCAGCAGGAAGAGACTAACTGTCATTTATTTGGACAGATTTGTATGGCCACTTTATGAATGAAAGTTGGATATTCACTCTCTAAGTGCCCCCTTATGTCCTTTTATACAAAGCCTGGCCAAAGACAATGATATGACAGCGGTAAGAGTGTACCAAAACGGTAAAGCTGTGAACCAGAAAACAAACAATGAGCTGAAACTCAGGATAACGTGGTGAATCTGAGAATGTATTGTATCAGAAAGTTGACCACTTTCATTGTTTTACATTATTATTAAACTATTAATTATAACTGCTTTAATGCATTGTCTTTATGAATTACAGGCAGTGCAGTTGCTGAAGAAAGGTGGGGTTCTTGTGTACAGCACCTGCACAGTGACTCTAGCAGAGAATGAGGAGCAGGTAGCGTGGGCCCTGGAGACCTTCCCCTGCCTCACGCTCCAGCCTCAGGTAGGAAAAAAACACCTTGTGGATAAACTCACAAATTTAGAAGGGATTGTTAGTTAACCTCACCAGATCACATTTTGTTTCCAGGAGCCTCACATTGGCTCAGAAGGCATGCTGGGAGCCGGCCTGTCACCTGAGCAGCTGCGCCTCCTCCAGAGATTCAGTCCGGAGCTGACCTGGGACCAGACAGGAGCGGCGGCCCCCCTCCCCTACAGAGCCGACAGGGACACCATCGGTTTCTTTATTGCCAAGTTCCTGAAAAAGTGACTGTGGGGCATGTTTTCTCTTACAACACCATCGGCTCTACCATGAGACTGCAGACGGGAACAATAGTGTTTATATTACAACACTGTGTGCTTTGACGGGGCAGTGTTGACAAAGACGCTCACTGTGCTGTTTACAGCATCTGCCTCTTAACAGCTGCTCTCTGAAACTGCAGGCCATATAGGGATAAGCTTTATAAACACCGAGGGCAGGAGAGAGGGTGGGAGGAAGGAGGGAGGCACGTGGGGATGGAGAGTGAATGAGTATTGGCAAATGCAGCAGTGCTTGCATTGCCATAACAACAGTGACGACACAGCTGCCATGGTGACTGTGGATTCGCTGGATTTCAGAGATCAGGAAGTCGCGTGCAGAAAGAGGTCATCAGTGGTATTAACAATTTAGTGTCTTTTAGTAGTTGTGGGGACAACTGGGACCTCTAATTCAGACTTGTGCTACTCGTAAGAGAAATTATGCTGTGTGTAGTTCAGTCACCATAAATAAATTATTTGTTTTCAAAATAAAAGTTCCTTTAAATAAAAAATGACTGGTTCCTGTTAATATTTTAAGCAACTGCACATTAACCAGTTAAACTCATGAAATGTTGGCTTGAATACAAATTACATCACTCATCTCTAATTCTTCAGTGCAAATTGAATTATGGGTGTCCATTAAATCTGCAGAATGTATAGTGCCGACACTGCACAAACATCTGGCCCCTTCTCCCATCATGCGGCATTTCGAGGACCTTCACAATGACCTCAGCTCAATCCCTCTTCCTGGGAATACCATTAGACTCTTAAGTCAGTCCACACACATCTGTCTGGAAATGCCAGCCGACTGCACATCAGCACTATATGTAGAGCTGATTAAAATGGCCGCTTCTTTCACTGCTGCACTCAAGGTATTTTTGTTCATCTATTTTGGAGGCATCTGAGTGTGGAGAAGCTATTTCAGATGCATCCCCACAGTTTTGTCGTTCATGTCCATGTTGTCATGACGACTCAGAAGGCAGGCCAAGGAGTCTACCTCAATTTTTCAGCAGAGTTTCCGAATATTTATAGACACTGCTCTCCTCCTCCTGTCTGGGTCTTCTGACAAAGCACACATCAACATTTTTCTCCTCCTTCATCAGTCCTTTGTTGCCAACTTTATTCTTCATATTTATGCATTATGTACATTCACATGTAGGCCTACACTGTAAGAAAATCTGTAGTGCTACCAATGTAGCATAGAAATGGAGTCGTTTTTATAATTACAATTGTCAGGCAAAATCAAAAAAGTGAATGGATAGGGTGGGTTTGTAAACAGAGGGGCATAGAGCCAGCTCAATTCAGAATTCCTGTGTTATGGAATTTTACAGGAAAAGTTAAACGTTGAGCCAACATAATTGACCCTTAACATAGGTTGTGTTAGTAAGGGGAATGATACAAATATTTTTGTCTGGAAAACATTTGAGAATTGTTTGAGTGCATCTTTAAACATTTTTAGTGAGGAACGTACTGAAGAAGATATCTTAAAATCAACATTCATTTATACTCTGAGGTGGGAATTTAACAACATTCAATAGAAAAAGGGGTTAGACTTAATAAAACATGAATCTAAGTGGAGTTTTGGTTGTAGACCTACAGAAAAGTTGCAATGTCATATCAAATTTCACTTGAAACTAACGTGAATCAGTAAAAGTGCAGAAGGGTGTATCAATGGTATAAAATGTTTCTGGACCCATACAAAGAGAACAGTACTGCATCTACGAGAGGAAGTTGTAGAATTTGTTTGTCTTGTAAGGCAAGACTAAGGTGCACCTCCAGGGAGGCTTAAAGATGTCCGAACCCAATATCTTGAACCATTGATGCAGAATTAAAAAAAGGAACTAAGCTATAAATGATTAACATAAAATTAAGGGAGTAGTCTGACACTTTAGGGAACATGCTTACTAGCTTCCTTGCTGATACTTAAATTACAAAATCAATTCCACTTTTTATCTGTCGGTTACATATTAGCCTGCAGCTAGCAATAGCAGCCTGTTAGCTTACCGTGAGTCAGCTGAAGATAAATCGCAACTTTTTTTAATTTGGTTATTTATACAAAACAACATTTTACATATAAAAGGTTAGTTAGTGAGCTTTACATATTATTTGCAACCTTCAAACAGGGAATGACTGGCTGTCTTCCCGTATGTAGCTAAGCTAACAGGCTGCTAGCTGTAACACCATATTTACCTTACTAATATGAGTGTAATTGATCGTTCCCTTTAGACCCAGTTGGCAGTTAATTAGGTGCTAAAACAAATCAAGTCTAATCCAACAGTCCTGCTCTTTAGACTACCCTCATTGATATAAATGGGGTGGACAAAATAATAGAAACTGCCAATATAACAATACAATACAAACCAAAAGCACCACACACTGCAGTCTCCAAAGTTATGATAAAGTTCAGTTTCAACAAAAACTGTTGAATACCTTTATGGAGGTATTATATTTTAGACTGCATTAGTTTTAGTTGTACCAAACAAACTGGCCACTCTCAGCAAGACAGAGAATAAGCCTATTTCCAAAATTGACAAACTATTCTTTAAAACAAATTCCATCTGCAAATACAGTCTAACTTGGTTAGTCAACTGTTGGAGTCAACCCTAGCAGTAGTCTGAAGGAACAAATTATTCAAGTGATAGCAAGCAAAAAAAAAAAAAATGCTAATCACAGAAAGCACAGCTCCGTACAGAAAACAATTCTGCTTTTGTGTCATGCTTTATCAAACACAGGTTTAAAATATGCATATTTGAGAATATTCATGCATATCCACACATAAACAACGTCTATGCATAGATACACACATACATATATTTATATATTTATATCTATGTAATTAAAATCCTGCCATTGAAAAAGATGCAACAGCATTTAAAAAGGAAGTGTACATAAATAGGATGCTGTGGTTTCAGGGTATAGCAGCACGATGGGAGAACAGAATGGTTAAGAGTCCAGATGAGCTTCGGGAGGGATTTGGTCTGTCACTGGTGGATGTAGGAGTCTCTGGACCACTCCCCTGCGTCTCCCCTCTTTTTGGGAGCCACCTCCACCTCTCGGTCCCTGTCTCTGTCCCGATCGTAGTATTGGTGGTGGTGGTGGTCCCGTGCCGGCCGGTGATGGTGCGAGCGCTGCTTGTTCCGTTCGTTATGGTCCTGCTCGCGCTCCTTTGAGCGGTGTTGTCCAGTGCTGTGGCCGGCTTCCTCCGCCCCCCCCCCGGTGATGGTGATGGTGGTGGTGGTTGTGGTCCCGGTGGGGCAGTGGCTCATATCGCTGTTGCTGCTGGGGGTGCCCCTCCCCTAGATCCTCCTCCTCCTCCTCCTCATCTTCCTCCTCCTCCTCTTCATCCTCCTCCTCCCGGTGGAGGAGTTGAGTGCGTGGCTCGATATAAGCCGAGTCCTTGCTCTCTCGGCTCTCTCTGCTCTCGGGGGTCTCAGAGTCCAAAGTTTCCTGCCGAGAGAGGCCCCGCCCCCGACCGCTGTGGTGGTGGTGATGGTTGTGGTGCTCAGTCCTGGTGGAAGACGAACGGTGGTGGATGTGCTGGGCTCTCCTGGAGGTCTCTGTCCTCAGAGGCCTCTCCTCCTCATTGCCCTCCCCCTCAGCCTCCCCATCGGCATCACCCTGGTCCTGGTGGTGGTGGTGATGGTGATGATGGTGCTGGTGATCCTCTCTGGAGCCCTTTCTCTCCACCAATGCTTTATCACCTTTCTGCTCTGCACCGCTGCCCTGGGGTCAGTAACATATGTCTGTCAGTCAGGGGACATAAAGCAAGAAAATGCAAGAAAATGCACTGCAAACACACACAAACACAACTCATGCAGATTAATATTCACTTCAACCTTGCTTCTGGTGTATTTAAGCACTCGCGCTTGAACACACACACACACTGCATGAATATTCATCAACCAACCATGGAAGGTTAATGAATCATTGGAGGAAGGACATTTTAAATATAACTTTCAAGGTTTCTGAATTTTCAGTCAGCAGGACCAAGAGGGAATCCTTATAGATTTCAGGCAATTCAAGTCTGAAAGAACTTTAACATTTATCCGAGCAACTTTTCACACTCACCACACTATCAATCACATGTCAATTTAATCCTGCTCCTCATCAATTTCAGGGATTTCCCAAGTCTTACATTTCCCATTGTGATGGCAGTGGATGGAGAGAGGGGTAGAGGTGTTAATATCACTCTCAGATGTGTGACCTTAGGTGAAAATGTTATACTATACAAAATCATACAATGGAAATGAAAACCTATCCTATACTTGACTCAATGACTGTTTTACCAATAAGAACTATAAATGAATTGCATTTTAAATCAAGGATTTCAGGTAATTATGTAGACCCACTTCCTGTCTGCCTCTGCTCTAAATTTCTCTAAACATGTGTTGCACATGTTATCCTTATTCTGCTTTATTATTCAGAGCAGTGTGTATCCCACAATGCAACACCGTTTTGTGCACCACACCTCTCCAATTGTTGGTAGTAATGCACCTTTAAACTGTTTTTTGGGCAGACGTTTAAGTTTGTGTTTGGAAATTATAATTAGTGTCCAAACACCACACAGTTACAGCAGAAAATCAACAGATGTTAACTTCCTAACCTAAAAAATAATTCTTGAGGAGACGAAAAGAATAGCTGCACACAAGTATTAAATAATAACAAAAAATGTTCGGCAACAATTTGAGAGACAAGATAATTACTTAGCATTCAATCTAATATCATGTTATGTCTCTTTTACTACAATAGCCTGGCATGCTTCTAACTAGTTTTAATTGCTGTATAATCAAATAACTGCTCTGAGGCACGAAATGTCACTGTTTCTGTAAGGCTGTGGGTAATCCAAATTATTCATCATTACGTTGAATCAAAATAAGGCTAACAAAGTATCTCAGCAAAATACACACAAATACCATAAGTGTGGGTGTTGGAAAATAACCTAAACCTTATTTACTGCAGGTTTTTTTTATTTTCTCACTCTCTAGGGCTTTAGCATGGTCTCTGCTACTTCTTATCCTGTCCTGTTTCTCTGCACAGCTTTGCTACAGGTAACCCCCCCTGTGTGTCCTCAGCTCTTGTACCTGCACGGCGGATACCGGGGCGGGGCTGGAGGGCAGGGCGGCTGTGGGCAGCTTTGTTAGCATTGGGTTGGGGGGGTTGGAGCTTGTGGGGTGAGTGCTCTTCCAGTACGCCTCCAGGTAATCCGCCATATGCTCACATGCATCCTCCAGCTGGTTCTCATCTAGGATGATGTCGAACATCTCCTGAGGAAGGGGGACAGAAAGGGTTAAAGGAAACATGAACAATTTGAAAGTAGAGAAAACAAGATGGGGCTTTAGAGGAATTTCATAATTAAAGACTCTAAAATTATCTATAAACAAATCATAATGATCGTCATACACAAACTGTCCCAGCATGAGAACTAAATAGCATTAGGAATTAATTCTCAGAAAATTTTAATTCCCTAAAGATATGGATTGTCATTTGAATTAAATTGAGCCTCCACTTTCACAAGCCTGGGTTGCTTGCTTCAATTTCTAAAATAATAACTAAGCAGATTACAGCACGGAAATAGAACTGGCACAAATTATAAAGCTGTAAAAAAAAGACTTCACATATCCATGCAACTAAAATCTAGAGCCAATACCATATCTGAAATATAAAACTGCAGGTTGTTTTAAACACTAAGTTTAAGTCGGTGATGATTTAGGTAATTTGGGTCCACTGTGGAGACTTACAGGAGGGCACTGAGCCAGCTTGTCAGCAGCCACCATCTGGACATTGAGGTGTTTGGCCTGAGACTTGCCTCTAGACTTGATGAGCCTCGTGAGCACCTGAGGGCAAAAAGGCAACATGGTCATGGTGGTTTTATTTAGACAAAAATGTAAATACAGAAACAAAGAAGATAGCTTTTATATAGCCAAAGCCATTAACAGGTAGTGGTGGGAAGTAACTAATGGATCGTGTCTTAAAAATAGGTTGAGCACAAGTGATTTCTGCTGCTTTGTATTTCTACCAAATTATATTTCTGTGTGATTCTCCCCTAAAGGTTAGCTGTATATGATATGGCAGAAGTTAGTAATTAAGAGGACAGGTGGCAGACAGTTTTTTATTTTAGCCCGCTGAGAGAGTGTGATTCACACTGATGCCACTCTGATTTCAAGCTTGTATCTCTCGCTGTTTAGCTATGCCTTTTCTCATCTTCTATGTTACCCAAATAACTGTTTATTTTACTGATCACTGAATCATGAGCCCTTTTTTTCAACTCATGCTGAAGGTCAAAGCGATGAATCAGTCCCCTCAAACATGCATTATTTAACATCAGAGCTAGGACACTTTTTAAACGCACAATAACTGGCTGTGTCACGTTTTACTCACCTTAGGAGAGGTTATCTTAACGTAGACAATGATGGGGGCGAGGGAGGTCTTCCCCAGCTGTGAAGGGTGGTTGATGGTGTCGGCGTCCAGAACCACCAGCTGTAACGTCCGGGCAAGTTCGAAAATCCGCTCAATCTCACTCTGGACTTCAGCTGAAGAAGAAACGAAAGATGTCAATTCAGAGGATTGACTTCATTTATTTCATAATCAAATAGAGCCACTTGTTTTTTGATGGAAAAGGTGGCTTACTCATAAACCAACTGTTTTACCACACAACCCCAACTCCAACAGAGTCCAACGTGACTTAAAATCTGTGCTACAAATATCCCAGCAGGGCACGATTCCCAATCTGAGAAGAATCACAGCCAAGCTTCATAACTTCCAGTCACGACAAAGTCTGAAGTAAACTGATAAAATGAAAACATTCCACATTAACAGCTCATGCAGGCTACGCCTGTATCACACATTCTCATTTTCTTGCTAAAATATGCCAGAGGGGTGATACATTTTTCACTTATTTCCAATGCAACATTTTCTTGCATAACTTTTCACTCATCAAGAAAACACTCACTTTTGATTCAAGACAGAAACAAGCATCAGAAACAAATGTACAAATCTTTAAATCTTTGTGTAGATTTCCTTTTAGGGTCTATAGTGCATGAAGTGGCTTGTTCAGAGGATTTCTTATACGTAAATAAGTAACTAAAGTGACACCGGATGAAAAATGGGGAATTTTCTTTTTTTTCTCATCGTCTATCCAAGTGTAATATTAAAAAGACAGCGAACGTGTGGGATCTGTTTCTTTATGCTAATTCTGAAGTAATTTCCTGCTACAGCAGCACACCAATACATTTCCTGCATCTACAATATGATTTCCTTGGACCTCGTACTCTGCTGCAGCTTCTGAGTGATGCTGATGTTGATACATAGCAAATATTGTCCCAGTTGTTTGACTCAGGAATCTGTTTCATTCTAATCGGATCTGAACCCAGATCAACCTCAGTCAAATCAGAGCAGCTCTTGAACTTGCTATCGTGCCTTGATGTTCTATATTTCATTCCTAACAAAAGGAAACCGGCCAAGGCCTGTCGGGAGTTATCATTACAATTGTCAAGAGTTCCTTTAATCGTTTCCTTCCTTTCCCACATAAGCTGGTCTCCTTGAAAACATTATGAATCAAAACAAAAGATGTTGACATGCATTGCACTTATTTCAAGCACGAACGTACCCAAGTTGGAGCGCGTGTTGGAGCGCTCGATGATGGCGTGCTTGCTGGGATTGTTCAGGACTGAGCGTTTGGCCAGAGAGATGTCCGCTGTAACGCGAGTGATTGATATTCTGAAGATAAGGAACAAGAGAAATACTTGATTTACCAGAGATGGAAAAAAAAAGCAAAGAAGCAAAGCAAAAAAAAAATAACGCTGTAAAAGATGGAAGAAGAAAATAGAACTCTCAAAACTGTTCGAAAAAGATGGAGCCAACAGGAGAAAATACATTAACATTGCTCAAAGATAAATAACATGAGACTTAAGTTCATGGGTCTATGGTCAAACTCATTATACTTAATTAAGTCTACTTCTGTGAACTTTATAAAGTAAGAATAGCATTACTCCAGATGTTCTGCTACCTGAGTGTAGCTACAGTAGCTATATAGTTGAGCTATTCTTTTTTGTTGCCTCTTAGCCAGAGACAGTCTTGTAAGCGGTGATGCAGTTTATATAAGTTTTTTTTAAATTTGTATTAAAGGTAGGCAGAATTGCAAAGTGAATGGGAGGCTTTCAGGGAACCAATCTAAATGCAGATGGTGTCATTATCTTACAGCTATTTTATTGTGCAAGTAACGTTGACTTGTTAATGATGTATTAAAGTCAATTATTGTCTATTGCCTCTTCAAACTAGGTTTGCAGAACATGACTTAAAGGGGAATTAACACAATACACTGCAGCTGCTGGTGGTCTGAAAGGATCTTAGTGTTAGTGTCGTGTAACTTCATGGCCTCTCTGCTTCAGATGGGTGGATGGACTCAACATTGAGTGAGTAGAATCCGGCTCTGCTCTAGGGCCCACTATGACCTATTAAGGACATGGAGAGGGTCTATTTAAAGCAGCAGCACACATCTGCAGGCCAAACAAACTTGTTACACACTCCCTTGGCCAACCTCAGGGGACTGATAAATACCAGCATATAGAGTTAGAGGGAGAAGGAATGAGGAAGGAAGGAAGCCGGATGAGAGCTTTTATTTGAAAAGATCACAAGGAACTTACCTTCCCTCAAATCTGTGTTTCAAAAAGTCAAACAGCGCTTTTTGCATCATGTCTGTCACCTGTGGACCGGAAATGTAGGGGGAAATGAGAGCAACTCGTTAGTGGATTCACATTTTATAGATCATTTTCCAATAAAAGCAGGGTAGCATTAGAAATGGTTGTCGCACCTCATAGCCCTTCAGTGATGGTCCAACGAGAACCACGGGCCGCATAGAAGGCACAACGTCGTACGGAGGAATGTGTTCCGTCTTCAGAGAGAAGAAGAAGAAAAAACAGTTGCACACATTTATGGAGACAAAGTAAACACTCACCATCACAAATCACTTGAGGGACTTGGGACAACACTGACCCAGACTACATTCAAAAGCACTGGAACATTGTGAACCATGAAATGGGACGTCCCAGCTGGCTCGACATAACACAAGCTTTGATTTATTTAATAGATTTGGCAGTTTACTTCACAAATGTCAACATCATCACATTGTTGAAACTTCAAAGAAGCTTACAGTAAAATGCAATATTTTATGATGGATTTCAATGTTTCGATAAATCCCCCCATTTCATGGTTCTGATGTTATGGCATCAACTATGTGAGAGGAAAGGTTAGTTGGACAGGGAGAAAAAGCCACAGTAGTTTAACAGAAGCTACAAAAAAATTATGTGGGAAAATTAGGACAGTTAGGAAAACTTGCTCATTGCTGTTACGACAAAGTGGAAGCTCAGTTTGTGTAACCGCCTCGGTTTTAAATCAAAATGAAAGAGGTGATTTTGACAAGAGCAGATGTTTTAAATTAGAGCAGAAATGAAAAGTTAGTCAATTTATAGAATGATGGATGTGTTGAGATTAGACAGATCGCTATTGGTGCCGAACAGGTATGGTTTTACACATTGTTCAATGTCAATATATTATAATATGATTTTCCATCTGCGGTTTAAGTGCCACAGCAATCCCTTGCATTGACCTACTTTACATACGACCTTAAAAAGTATTCTAATGAGTTAATAAACCCATTATGAATTCAGATATGAAATAATGATGAAAGAGCACTGGTTTCAAATCCATTGAGGAATACAAATCTGTAACAGAAGAGAAGAAATGTGATCATCCCTTGACAGAATAGTAATGGTCACTAGTTCTGCTAATCAGTTAAAGTCAAATTTAAGCAAAAATACTCAAATGTGTATTGGTTCAATCTTCTCAAATGTATATATATATATATATATATATATATATATTTTTTTTTTGCATTACAATTAGCTGTCTGGATGTGCCAGAAAACTGCAGGAAATGTCAAGTACTTTCTCCATCTTTAAAATGTTTTATGTTGTTTGCTCTTCCTGCTCTCTCCACTTCTAAACATTTTCTGTCCGTCTCACATTTGCTGTCGTCAGCGTGCTTCCCATGGGACGTTGTGGGAACTGATGCACACTGCTGCTGACTAACGTGAGAGTACTAATGGACACAGTGGGTCCGCTCAAATACTACTGCCAGCTTAAGTCCAACTCTACATTACTTTATGAACGTCAGCATAGTCATGGGAAATGTTCATGAACTAGCATTTCATAAAATTAAGTTGACTTAATTGAATTTAGTGTCAGATTTTAGTCTTTTAAATAGATTTATCATATTGCAAATGTATTGTAATAATTGAAACCTCTTTGTCATGTTAAAAAATAACTTGTGTTAGCATGTTAGCTAGTGAGCTTTAAAGTCGCTGCAAGACCATTCCCCGTCTTTATGCTAAGCTAAGCTAGCAATCTCTTATCTCTAGTGGCATTAAGAAAGATATAGGAATGATAACGCTCTCATTGTTTGATATTAGATGATAGACTATAACTATTATGAGCATACTTTTTATGAAGCCGTTCACACTGAGCTCTCACTGTCAGGATCACAAGTTCACTAACAAACACACAAACAATCACAAACACGACACAGAGGATTGCAGGAGCAGTGAGTAGGGTGAGAGGTCAGTACAGAGCTGAATCTCTAAAGAGGGTTTGTATAGTTCAGGTCCCTGCTGAGCTGATGCACTGCACTGCACGCCACGACTTACCGACTTCTGCTTCTGCTTAGCTGTGGTGAGACGGAAGAGGAGAAAGAGAGAGGTTAAGAACAGGCATGCATGCCAACGGACGGCAGTGGAACGAGGGCTGTGTCGTAGACAAACAGGACGGGCGCTAAGTGAGGCCAAGCAGGCGTTTAGTCAAGAGACGTGCGGACAGATAAGAAAAAAAGAGCTTTAGGTAGTCCGGAATTTACCTTCTTAAAGAAGGGCATTCGTTTCTCTTTTGCTAGGGGTGACATGACAGTGTTTGGACTGGCTTTAGGGGAGCGCAGGCTGACCGGAAGCTCATTGTCCTCGAGGTCTAAGTCTGTGGCATCTATGTCAATGGCTACGCACACAGACAGACAACAGCACCATCACATAGATGAACACAGGAGGGCACAGGTAACCGGGTACAATTCTCAATGACAGTAGCACAGAATGTACAGTATGCTACTAGACATTGACAGCAAATTAAACATGAAAAAGTACATTTAAGGAAATTAAAACATCAACTTTATTGCTGGTAAAAATATATGAACAATCTAAGTAGTGCATCTTACCTTCCACTTGAATTCAATGGTTAAAAGTAAGTTCAAAAGATTACAGAATAAGGTATAAAGTTGGCGTTTTGAAGGTGCCCAAGAAGCTACTCACCAGACGAAGGAGGAGTAGATTTCCGTGAGTTAGGAACCACTTCACCTAAACTAGAAGATGAGTTTGCTCCCAATTTACTGAAAAGAGAGAACACGTGAGATCAACAACCCTTAGGACGGCTACATTCATTTTAGTCTATCTCTTAGCAGACACAGAGAACTCAGATAAGGGTTTTTACCTGGAGTGGAACTTGCCCTGTTTGGCTCTCTGCTCCAGGAGGATGCGAGTGTTTTCAATCTTCACTGGACTTGGGATGAAACCAATTTCACAGCCTTCCTTCACCAGGCGTCCTATCCACCAGTCGTTGTTGAATTTCTACACAGAAAAAAAGTGATGTTCATCATCCTTATTGCCCTCAAAATCACTGTACTAAATATCATCTCTGATTGGAAAGTTAACCACTCACCTCTTTGACATGGAGGAAGTCTTTAGTGTCAAAGGAGATGGCCATGCCAGGCACAGGGACATCGTCATCGTGACACGGGCTGTAGTTGACATTTGTGCGGACAGCAAATGCAACTGGTTTGGTCTGTTGGGAGGAAAAAAAGGTCAGTTTGTGTCAAAGACATCACGCAAGAATTGAGACCTTTCAAATGTTTGTTTTTTTCACACTGTGAGATGTGATTCTTGTCTTTGTGTGAGGTGTTAACATCCCCCTAAGCGAGGGATACAAGCAGACGGACTATCTGCTACAAGCTAAAACACTTTATAATTCAGAGTGATGCAACATGTTGGCTTCTGCAGAAATCAGCACTTAAAACAGGAGATGTACAAACAGCACTCGTGGTCATAAATTAATCCTACAATCTTAACAATAGTTGAATCAATACTGGCTTTCCTATGGCATCACTATTGACCTTCCTCTTTGGGACAAACAGTCCTTTCAGATAATGCATACAGCTTAGAAAAGGTTTCTTGAGGCTGTGATGTAACCACATATGGTTCACATACTGTCCACATATGAGACTTTCATACTTTCCAGACATAGATATTTTTTCACAAAGCAAAAGCAAATCTCCTCTGCCCATAGTGACGCATTTGATTTTCTAAAAAAAGGATTTGTATAAGATCTGAAAACATGTGATGGGAGAACCATATGCTCACAGACAAACCCTCTGAATTTAGATCCCTGGAAGAGGAGAATAACCATCTAATAGACATCTTTTTAAGAATTACATAAAATACTTTTGGACATAGCCTGGCGGCGATGGCAGCAACAGTTGGCAACATGGTCATGCCCTCAACCAGATTACATTTGTTCTGCCTGTGAGTAGCATGACAGAAGTCGAATGAAAAGCTAAGACGAATTCACAAGGGAGTAGCTTAGAGTAATCTCCCAGTGTAGACTCACATGCTGGATATTTACCTGCACATGAAAGCGAGCAAGATGAGGGGAAGGGTGTGCGATATTCAGCTGGAATCTAAATGTAACTCACTAAATCAGAGCTTTGATGATGTAACCGTGTAATGATTGAGGAAAAGTCTTTTAAAGCGCATCATAGTGGTCTTCCAATCAGATTTTTCCTTCGCAAACTAAAAGTAGCAAGACGTAGTATACAAAGCAAGGCAGATCTACACATCTATGTAAATATATAAGTTTTGTGTACAATTAAGCAAGTGGGAATCATTGTCTTGTATTTTTAAATCAGATTTTCTGGCCACTTGGGGGCAGAAAGAAACTTCAAAACAACATGGAAAACACAGACCGTATTAACACTTTTAAAATGTGTAATGGCACATTTGCTATCCTACTTTTTCCTACTTATCCTACTATTGACATATCCAGAGAAGGCCAACGCTGATCGCATTGACCACCGGCGATTGAAGAGGTGTAGCAAATTGTTCAAAAATATAAAGGAACTTCATTGCAATAGAAAATAATATCTTAAATATATCCTACTGTGCATTTCAGGAGACGTTTTTGGGGGGAGTTGGTGGAGACCAAAACAAGAGAGAATATTGGACTTACATTCATTAAGAATATAAACCTGCCTTTAAAGGCTAATTATGCTCCATATCTACTGAATGTGTAAATAATTATAATAGGTTAACAATCTCAACCTTAACACTTGTTTCTGCTGCACCAAAGTGGTCAGTAAAATCAGTTATTGCAGGTTTAAACGCTCAATGTGAGATTAAATTACATTCCTATTCACCTTCACCCATCTACAAGGACTGATTGGGTTTGCTCTGATCTGAATACTACTTGGGATCTTTCAAACAGGCAGCGATGCTCAGTGAAGCTCAGCACTATGAGAGTAATTCATCAGCTTTACAGACGACAATCGCTACCTTACATCACCACTGTCCACTACCGCCTCATTGATATACAACAGGTGTAAAGTGACTGTGATGAACTATGGATGGGGGATTATGGGAATAATACATTAGTGAAATCCTCCTGGAATCATTTTCCTCATGCGGACAGCAATGTAAATACTTTATGAAGTGATGGTTGTAAGCGGTGTGTGTGACATGAACATTGAGAAGATCATTCAATCCGATGTGGGACCCGTAGAGGACAAAGCGTCCTTGGCGATGGCATGCATTGAGTCACATGTCCATTAGTACACCTATATGTATGTGTCTCATGGGCCTCTGCCTCTTTCCTCCCACCCAGCCTTTATCAATCATGGCCGCCTGTCAGGTGAAGCTCTCTCCAGGCTTAATGAAATGTTACGGACCTGTAGGCAGTCACGCACACACACTTTCTAACGTGCCACCTTCCATCACAGGTGACAGCAGGATTTGTACATAATGGCACATTTACACCGCTGTAGAGTATCGATACATCTTCTTTAAGAGCCCATACTGCTCTGTTGCTTCTTACGTAACGCAGGCGTTCATTATGGATGCCGTATTGACTGCAGTGAGGGAGGGAGAAGGACTGAGGCGGAGGGTTAGAGACGGGGTAAGAAGCGTGGGAGGAGGGGGTAAAGAAAAGGGAAAGGAGATGGACAGAGGGATAGCAGACGATGTAGTGCAAAGAACAAAAAGAGGCAGAGGACAGGATGTGAGTGGGGACACATTCAGGGAGATAAGAGGAAGAGTAATGATAAGACAGAGCTCCAGAGAAGCCCCATCAGTAACTGGGAACCCTGGGAGGCAACGCTATAGAATACAGCCAATTAACACCACACAACACTCGTCACTATATCCCACCACCCCATGAATATTCCAAAAGACAATGCCTCCTAGTCCTCTCTGTGCCTAACTGAGTGAACACACACCCTTGCATTCCACATGCCTGCTCCATTCGCGGCACACACACAGGCTCTCATGCTATAAATCAAGGTTCCCACATTGTTTCACCTTGAACGTACAGATCGATATGAAATAAAAAATGGTTTAGCCTCGTGCCCTGGCCTTAGGCTGTACTGAGAGCCTGTAAAATGTATTATTATATTGTATGAAGGGAGCCATAACCTTCATTAATTTAGTGTGGGAAGATGTATCTATAATTACCCAAGAATGCATTAGTAATATTTATAGGTAGGCTATATATGAACAGTAAGTCAGCCATGATAAATGCAGCTACTGGTTAGTTTCTTATTTGCCTAAAGTGATTTTGTTTTATATTATGTCTACATTAATTGTTATTGTAATTTTATGTGCAAACATGTAACAAGTTGGAGTCCACATTTAATTAATTGTATCCAAAGCTTTTCTAAGAGACGAAGTGAGAGTAATTCATTCTAACTCCGATTTACACCCATTTCCTAATCTATAACCATGGACAACAATTAAGTCACAACATTTAATCACATTTTAACGGACTCCTTGGCCATTGGGCGGCACCAGAAAAAAACTGTAAATACAACAATTTACATATTATAACTCCCTTTTAGCTCCGTTTTGGTCTCTACCAACTCATAACCAAATTATCTGTCTCTTTAGCTGCTGAATACTTTGTAATTTTACCATCAGAAAACAAATATTTTGGGCCAGTTAAGACAATTTAAAAGCACTCCCTTCATTTCCTATTCCACTTCCTAACTTCTAAAGACAAAGATATCCTGACTTTTTGCAATGCGCCTCTTTCGTGTAAATGCCCCTCACAGACTTCACTCACCCAATTTGTGGCAAAGCCTTTCCGTTTGGAATCTCCCCTAACCTGAGATAACCTCAGACTTGACAAAACATCTTTAGAACTACCTTTATTACTTTAAAAGTGTTCAATTAATGAAGTCAATAACAGACAGCAGAGGAGTTTTAGTAGGTATTCATATTAAAAACCATGTACTGTAGTGTGAAGTATATTAAGGCCTTAAACATGTCTGTGGAATGTTAAGGAAGTTATTGCGAATGACTGCCCAAAAAGGCTCACAGGCAGAGTCTCTGCACTTCCTCTGACCCCAGCTCTCGCTGTGGTGGCCAGACCAGAGAGGCTATTTTTTACCAGTCATCTGTCATATAAAATGCCAGCAGGGGTAATCCATGCCAGGTTATCTCTAAAGCCAACTTATCTTTGTAATTAGTGAGCCAGAGAGGGTGACTCTGGAACAAAACAACACAGATCTGCTAGAATGATCTGTCTGTGCCAGCTATGAGCTACCTCCGGACAGCACGGAGGGAAAGTGCTCTGCTACAATGGATGGACAGCCAAAAGCTCAGCGCTCACAGCTAATGAGCATGCTAGCTGTTATAGACAATTAACACCCAGTAAAAGTCAACAGACCCTTGCATGAATTGATATGCAAAACAAAACGTAACCATTGACATGTAGAGCAGGAAGAGGACAACATGTGCACAGAAGATAATCAAATTCTTTAAAAAGATCAAAGGCATGAATCTTAACAGTGCCAGCGATTGGAGTGATTCTGAGGAAGCAAGCGCTGATTGCAATTCCTGTCACACAAAGACAAGCCTGCTCTGCTGTGTGTGTGTTTGTTTATATGCTGCTAATTGTGGCCCAGAGCAGAGGAGAGCAGGCAAGGCTTGGCTCTGATAAACAGTGACGCAGAGCCCTCTGAGGCCCCTAACCTCTCACACCAGCAGCCCCCGACAGCCCTTTGCTAGACCCTGAAACCAGCTGAAATCATAGTGGGTCCTCCAGCATGGTCTCCTCTCAACAACCAATGATTTTAACCATTATTGTTTTCCTGTCTGATTATGGATGAGCTAAGCTGGGCTAGTAATGAAAAATAACACGTTTCTCCCTTTCCATAATGAAATCAAAATGGCTAATTTTCTTGCCACTATAAAAAAAAGAATGAACATGTAGGCCTAAAGAATTGAGACCAAAAAGGAAACAGACACAGCTTTCCTTCTCTTCCAATAACAAACCAACCAGTGTAAAGTTTACATTACGGTTTAACTGATGCCAGACATCATTCGTTCAAGCATAATAAAGCAGTTTCGTCTGTGCACACACTTCTATACTTGTGGGGACCCTCACATGTCTTACTTTCTAACCATTACAAAAACAGGCCTCTTTACAATGAACTAACCCTAATACCAATTCTAACTTTAACCTTAAAATTAAGTCTTAATGTGCCCTGTGGATTTCTCTTGTAAACAAAAAAAAAGTATGTTTATATTCTCAACAAAACAGTTGTGTTATAAGTGATAAAACACTTGTAAAGCTTTTTATTTTATGTTTAAATTGTCAAATTTCACGTTTGTTATCTTGCAGTCTACCTATTGTTAACTCTTTCGGGCTAATAGCTATTCCTTCCTACTAATCAACCGTCAATTAGTATTATTAACATACTAGTAAAGACTTTTGTTCCTACGCTACTAGTGGTCAAAAACTACACACAGGGTTCTCAAAAGCATACAAAGCTTACAAACACACACGTTGATCACAGGCCCCTTCTTGCCCCCATAGAGCACATGTTTCAGTAGGGAGGGACTGGACAGAGTGACCTCAGTGACCGCAGCCCGTTTTTGGATACCAACCTTGGCCTTGTCGAGCTGTGCCTGAGCCTGTCGCTCTGCCTCTCTGCGCACTGCCTCCTTATCCTCCTCAAGGGACACATCGGAGTCTGATGGACGGCTGGTGTAGGAGTCGGCCGAACCCTGCAGAGACACAAACACTGAAAGTCAGCTTCGTCCATTTGGTATTCACACTTCAAAAATGAAAAAGGTGTCAGACTCGTGCTGGGATTCAGAGCATCGTGAGAACTTCATTTCCTCTGCATTGCTCTTCCTCTTCAAAAGACATTCTTGAGCATCTAATGTGCAACTTAAAATGTGAAAACGCACCCAGACAGACTGAATTGTTAGACTCTAAGCATCGATAAATTCAAGTTGAGTTCATTAAATAACGAGAGGATGTGCTCAATAAAATAAGCAGGCATTTCATTCTATTATCAATTACATCGGACACTTCCCCTCTTTCTGAGAAAAGATGCCAAAGGACACAAATAGTCTTTCAAAGAATCACATCCCCAGCAGCTCTCCTTCTATCCTTAGCGCTCTCTGTCAGCCGCTCGCCTAAAGATTTTTGTTTTGATCCTTTTGTGAGAAACACTGGGTGAAATGTTGAAGAATGCCAGGTCCCAGTATGTCTCTGTGTGATATGTGGTTGCGACAGATCTAGTCACAGTTCTCAGACACACGCATACCAAAAATATGCAAGTTACTGACTCTCCTGAGAGCAGTGCATTGGTGAAGCACACGCTTACTTTTTAAAGTTATACTTGCATGTTATTGCTATTTAGAAAATAGTGTTTTCACTACAAGACAGAGAGCAGTCACCAGAGGAAAAAGCTAGCATTTCCAGGCTGACGAGGTTAACTTTTTAATGGTTGGATATTATGTAAACTCTTAAATCATTGATAAAGTCCAAAGATACAACCTTAAAAGTGCACTGTTTAGGCAGATAAGCTAAAAGTGACCCATTTGCTTTGACTGTTTAAAGCTAACAACAATATTTAAAATGTATTGTGCATGTTTGAATAAATACATAACATCTGCTCCTACACAACAGAATAATTTCCCAGCGCCAGATATCCGTTTCAGTTCAATGTAATCTTACAGTCAAGGATTAAAAGAGGGCCTTTTTTAACTAAGTGAAGGCAGTGTGAGCCTTATCCTTACCTGCACGTTACTATGCCACCCACACAACGCTTTCATTCATCTCACTGCACCATTACACTCTGCTGTCTGAGTTAAAAATAGCCTCCCTCGCTCTGTGCCTGATTAGAATTACCCAGCCATCACATACGTACAAAGGAGGATGTCCTCTCCACTTTCTCCATTACCTGACTTATGTATGGAAACAATACAATGTTGTTACGGTACATAATACTAGGTTATTCATATTCATGTCCATCTCACCATGGAACTGCGCTGCTGTGTCTCTCATCCTCCCTGCTTTGTACCTGATATGAATAAGTCATTTGAAAGCAAACTCATTAAATATCCACAGGGTGCTTTCAATCGTGCAGTCATTATTCTCCCAGTAGCTTTCAAAACATCACCAAGCATGGATCAAACGCTGCTCAAGCTTGAGATTGAATAAGCAGCACTTCTACGCACTTTAGGTACATAAATTGGTACCTTGTTGCACACCAGCCTGTCTTTATGCAGGTGAAAATACCTGTTGTGATTACTCCATCAGGTCAGGGCTAACAGCGGGGCGCGATCAACAACGCTGTCCCAGTGGGTCAGAGGGAGGTGATATGGAGCTCTGCCCAGAATCTGACAGCCATAACTGATAACCACATGCAGCTTCTCATCATCGTGGGGCAACACACAACGGTGCCACACTGACCCCAGACACTGTGGAGTGATGGATCAGGCAGACACACACAGACTCGCACATGCACACAACAACAGACGGTGCAAACACACTCAAAATCTGCTTACATCGGCATCAGAGCTCTTGACACGACCTCCCTTGGCTCGTTTCAGCAAGCGGATCCAGGTGGCCTTCATCAGCCACACTGGTCATTCAGTGTCCGGAGCCACTGCTACAACTACACCTAACTGCACTGCTGTGGTCACTCATGCACCAGCGCTGCAGCAGTGCTCTGGCTACAGGTACATTCAACACAGTGGCAACATCTGGTTCCTGTTACACCTTGGCTGTAAATCATCCTTAGGTAAATAAATAGCTTTGGAGTTGTGGCTCCTTGTCTTTTTGCTGCAGCTCCAGCTAGCGCTGCTGCTATCTGTAGAGCCACAGCTCCTTCTCCTCCTGCTGCTGCTGATATTGCTGCTAAAGACGGGGAATCCACAGGAGCTCGCTGCCCCGCGCATAATCTCAGCAGCTCTCTCCCTCTGTCCTCCCCGGTCTCCTTGAGTGCTCACACTGCCGCTGCAGGTGCCGATGCTGACTCCCAGAGTGAGTCAGGTGGCGGCGATGCTCCTCAGCCCCTCGTTCTCCTCCTCCTCCTCCTCCTCCTGCTGTAGCCTTCCCACGTTGCTCCACAAGCGGTGGATAACAGCAGTTTATCTACATGAGTCCTGGTGTGGCTGCCTGTTACCGATGCTAATGAAGCTGCTGCCTCTCAGGTGCTGCAAGCTCACTCTTTCACTCTGTGTCTGAGCGCATCAGTGCATGTCTTGCACAACCCTTCAGTGATTCTGCCTCTCTATCTCTGTCTTTACCCCCCCTCCTTCTCCTCCTCCGTCACTCCCCCCCTCACAGTCGGTCCATCTGCTCACTGTGGCTCTGCAGTGATGCGATGTGCTATATGGATCCTGTTTATGTGTCGCCTGTGCATGCTGTTTTGTTGTTTGAGAGCACAAAACATTCACCCTAACATGAGCTGTTTATAGGTGTTGGAAAAATAAGTGTCACATCGCCATCTTCTCAGAGGTGAGGAGCTTGTTTACTGAAGACAAATCTGCTCACTTTTATCAGGCATCAGAGATGCAACTGATCATTATTCTTGTTATCGATTCATGCACAGGCTCTCAGACTTTTCCTTTCATGCTTTGGAAGCCAAAAATAATTCACGCCCACCCCCTACCTCTCAGTTTACATTTTACCAACAACATTGGGGAGACTAAAGTAACCTGACATATTTATTCAAACAACATTATCTGGAGCATAGACTGGATGTTATTTTTTATATTTCTGAACAGTTACTGTTCTGCAAAAACTATGCTGCTCAATTAAAAACCAAAAGCACAGCTGTCCTACTGAATAGTCAAAGAAGTTGCTTCAACTTCAATATTTTTGCTTCATGAATAAGTTGAGTATCTCTCTTATTTTTTCATTCAATGGATTGCCTAAATTCAGTCGACTTAAATGCACAAATAGTTGGTAGTTAGAAAAAATACAAAACATTAGCTTGTACCAGCTGCTTTAATTTGGGCTGTTTTCAGATTTATTTCTGTTTTACATCATTGTTAATTGAATATCTTTTAGTCTAGAGTGCAACTCTTTAAGCAAAAAGAAAAGAAAAGGGGGTTTCTCTCATATGATGGTACAGATGGTTTTGGGTTTTGGACTGTTAGGACAAAAAAGGCATTTCAATATGACACTTATAAATTATATATTGAATTGTTCACTATTTTCTGACAAAACAATCAATAAGTTAAGAAAGGAATAAGCATGTTAATCAATAACTAAAATAAAAGTTACCCTTATAGTGAGTATTGTATGTGTATGCGCCAAATAAAAAACATGGAGCTACTTTACTCTGTAGTCTCAGCCTCAGGGATTCTGAGGTGAAAGCTGCTCTAAATCCTCGCCTCTCAGATCGGCGGTGATTCATTACATGTGAGCGGGGCGTCCCACAGCCACACAGGACAAATGAGAATAATTAAGCTGTTCATTAAAAATGTCCCGTCCTCATAAAAGGTAGAGCCAAAGTTAAACCTCCTGCAGGGGGATTATTCGAAATGTCCCCGGTATTTGCAGTGCTGACGCACGATGCTCCTCGCTCTGACCCTCAAGAGGTTGTGTGAGGTCAGAGGAGTCAGGGGTTGGCCCGTGGGACCGGCGGTTAGAAAAAGGCACTCTGGTTTATGGGCAGCGGGCGCTCCCAAAGGCCCACTAACTGTAGATCAAAAGATGACATGCTTATCAGTGGTGCTTATCAAAACCAATCAATGACACGCCTCCATCTGCTCATGATCCTTTCAACAAGACATGTGCACTGAAAAATGACACGTCTTACATGAAACGAAAGGCTGGGGGAGGATAATGTGATTTTAGCTCATTAGGACCAATTAGCCTAACGAGGAAGGCAATTACCTGAGGTGAGTGTTTTCAACAGGAATGATGGGAATGTTGGACAACAGAAAATGTGACGATTGTAGCATCAAGACTCAGTTTTCAACTAGCAAGTTAGGAAATAAATCCGTACACTATTTCATAGCTTTGCCTGAAGAAATTGTGCAATGGTCACATATGTTTCATTAAGGCGCCTTGACACTTGCCTCCAGAGGTCTCAGGGCGGGGCACAGATGCTCTGAACGTGGAGCTGTGAAGGCTGCACTCCGATAGCACCACTGACAGAAACTCACAGCGACAGAACGAGCCTGGGGCTGCCTGACATCACTGACCTCTGGACCCTCTGCCACACTGACACTGACACTGACAGGGCCGTGTCACCCACACACAGGCCACTAATAATAATCTAACCTCAGGATGATACAGCTTAGATCCTGGAGGAGGGCTGCTCTTTGTTTGGGTTCACCCAGCAGACTAGGAAACACAACAGGAATGTGGTGTCTTGCTCAATGACGTCTCTAATCTTCAGATTACAGGACACTCTTCCTGTTAACTCTGCCTCTCTACCATAGTCCTGAAAAAACCTGAGAATCACATTAGCCAAACAATGAGTAATATTGGACAATTCAACACAACCCTGCATTACATGTGATGGCTGTTTCTTATCATTAAAGTGATTTCTAAATGACTTCTAATTACTTTGGTTATTCCTTAAATTCCTCAAGTTGGCCGACTTCATGCATTATTAAGGGGAAGAGAAATTAAAAGAAGGGGGGGGCGGGTTGAAAAGGCAATGGTCCCGTCTCCTCTACACCGCTCTTATCGATTCATTTGGACAGAGGTCCTTGCTGTAAGACCACCAACGACCTCTACATGCCGCAGTGGC